AAGGAGCTGGGCCCGCGCACTTGAGAAGAGAAACTCAACCGTGTGAACAACTAGGTCACGGTTTACTTGTGATCTATCTACCGATCATCTGTGTACCTCTTCTCTCTGTTTCTGGCCCCGGTGCGCCCAGGCCTCCATTCCATCGAAGAGTCCATACATGGCAACAGAACCTGAGCACTCAAGCAGTACATTCGCGTCTGTTTGTACGTTTTCGTTTAACGGCATAACGTATACTACGTCTTTTTGCACCCGTCCATGTGCACACGCGCGAAACCGGTCGGTGCCCATGACAAGCATCGAAGCTGGCACTCCACAGCAATGAAGCGGCGCTTTTGGAAATATCTGCCGCCTACGGCGAACGAAGAGCTTCCCTTCTCAGCAATGCCGGGCTCCCGACCACCACTCCTGACGAAAAAACAAAAAGGTAAAAGCGAGGCATGGACTTCTTCATCTGCCAACACGGCTCAAAACTGCTTCACTCATCGGAAGGAATGCAGTGCCTCCTCCGCTGCCGCAGTGCCACGAGAGTCGTCGCACCCAGCAAGGCTGCCGCGCAAGAGACGCACGGCCTCGGCCGTAGGAAATATGATGCTTCTATTACTCGCGCTTCCATTCCTCGCTCAGTCTTGATGCGAGGGCCTGCTCGAGTTTGTAGCACGAGTTTCGTCTGAGTTCCATTCCACTGTTGGAGCCTGAAAGGGGAGGGAACCTTGCGTAGAGAACCGCCGAGACTCCTTTCAGCCCTTGGTGATCGATGCTTCCAAATCAAATCACGCTCTTAAGCCTGAGGCAATAGCGTAGCACTCCCATCGACAAAGCCAAGAAGCAGAGCCGAGCGCGGAACCTCCCTGACTTGGAGATCGAACTCCCCCCTACTCCCTGCTGCTTCGCGTGCATAAATGTGTGCATTGTAGAATCCTGCCTCCATGGTTCCCGAGCAAACTCATCTTGCACGAGCCAGTACATGCAAAATCTGAAGAAAGGAGTCTTTGCCTCCTTCTCGTTTCAACCGGTCAGGGAGCGGAGTCGCTGGGATACCAACACAGCAGTGGGCGTTGCACTCGACGTGGCCTCGAGGCAGAAGTGCGCATGGCCGGTGCTGTCACTCGAACGTGCTCCCTGCATCTCCAACCTGTTGAACTGCCGGTCTGTTTCCGGCCAGGCGAACACCTGACAAGACGGCCCGCATGAGTTCTTTCGTGTGCACTGGCCTGATTCGGTTCGCATGGAAAGGGCCAGCTCGCCTGGAACGACGAAAGCCGCTCCTGCAGCACCACCTAGGCTTCCAAGAACAAGAAACAGAGAGAGAGAGAGAGAGCGAGACAAAGAGACAGATAGAGAGAGAGAGAGACAGAGACGGAGACAGAGACCGAGATAGAGAGAGGAAGAACCAGGGATATACGTACGTTTTTGTATAGCACCGAGTGCATGCACCAGGGGGCAGGATGTGTAGCTTGGCATCTCGCAAAGCATGGCCAGCACGAAGCGAAGCCTCGGACGCCTCTCGAACATGCTATGGACAGTCACAAAGGTGATCCACTCAACTGCTCATCCAAACGACAAGAGAACCTCTCTCTGCTCGTCAAAGGATGTAAGTCAACACGGGAGACACCGTGCATCAACGTCTGGGTGCCTCCCAGGGTCCGCCATGATGGCTCGAGCGGAAGCTACACGGCCCACCGCTCCTCCGAAACACTCTTCGAGCAGAAGCGCGCACATCGGGTTTCTCAAGGACTCAAGGGCTTCCGAGGCCGCTCTTATTTCTGTGCGTACGTGACACCTGGCTGTTGCTCGAAATTCCTTCATCCCGGAATGACCTTCTTCGTGCAAAAGAAACCTACGTTCGCAGCACCATCGCCCAACTTTCGCAGAGGAACATATACATACCTTTGCAAGTTATAAGCTCAAATTACAAGCCCTAAATGAAGAAGGGATTTTTGGTTTGTGGCCTGCTAAACCCTTCCGGGCGGCTGCGTGGGGAACTTCGTAAAGACCCTGTAGTGCAGACATCAAGCCAAGTAATGAAAGCTACGAGCTGCAACGCTCCGTAATTTTCGCACATCACGCGATCCGGACAGACTCGAGACGATCTCCAGCGCTGGGGCAAGCATTCCGCAGGACCGCATTGACTAGAGCGAAACCAAAGCCCTTGCGCCCCGGAGCTGACTGTCTGACCTCGGGCTGTCAGGATGCCTCCAGAACTGCTCAAACAGACCGACCGGGCAGGATGCGCTTCCTATTTTCTTCTCTTGCGCCGCATCGTTGAAATCAATGGAGAGCTATTGCAGACCTGTCGGTGACAAAGCTCAGAGATCGCCAATCCGTGCATTCATTTGCACTATTGGCTCCGGCTTATGGAAAATAGGAGGAGCCGAGATGGAACGAGAGAGGGGCCTAAGGGTGATTGCCATGGCGATTGCCCTTGCCCAAGACCTCTCTATTATACACGTAGTGGGGCTCAAAGAGCCCTGGTGCACTACAAATTAAATCAAGGTAGGTATCAAAACAAACAATCAATTCAGCAGTTTTGCCCTCATAGAGGCTGTGCAATCTGCTGGGAATAACTTCGGGGCTAGCCGGTCTCCATCTTTGTTTCATGGAAACAAAAACATCATCCCAGGGTGAGAATCATCTTGTTTGGATAAAAAGAAGCCTAAGCCAGCCGAACAAAGAGGACATCAAAAAAGGCCAAGATCTGCCAGTTGTGCATCTAAGAGGCCATCGCGGCAAAGCTTAGCAGACAGTTTCCATGCAGATATCCTGCCGAGGGGCATGACAAAACCCAAGACATCCGAATGTAGCTTTGAACAATGGTGCCTTGCGCTCAAAGCTGATTCCGAGCTTGGCCCGCCTTGGCCAATTAGGACGGTGTCCGGGCATGACTGTACCACTCGGTCTGCTCGCATTCCAAGCCACGCTTGCGCAACTACATCTGCAGAGATCTTTCCTTGCTTGGCAAGGCCCTGCAAAGCTGCGACCGCAACCTCAGAATGCCAATTGCACTTGCCAATGCCAATGCACCCTCGGACCGGATCTCTGAGCCCTCCCCTGCGAAGAGGGAAATCGAGGACATCTCAGGCTCTCGCAAACGTCCAAAGCAATGAAAGTTGTCTTGGAAACAACAGCACGCACTGTTTCAGAGAATGGTGCAGCATAGTGCACCGGGGAAAGGCGCGTCAATTACAGGTCGGAAAACACACCAAGCCAAGAACATCTGATGACGGAAAGGCAGGACACCTGTTCAACACTTCTTGCATTGCAAGACAATCATGCCCCAAGGCCCTAATACTAATAAACTTCTCTCGAGCTGACAGCTCGAAGCGAAAACCCCGCAACCTCAAAAAGGGCTGCGGTCTGGAAACGATAAACGCAGAGCTGAGATACAAGCTAAAGTTATGGAGACCACATGTTGAACCGCCACAGCCCTGCTTGTAGACAACGAGCAGTTGAAAACAACCTGCTGATAGCAAAACAAGAATCCCGAAGTGAGTGATGTTTCACGCCACATATGGGATGCATGCTCCGGCGGATGAACGAAAAACTGCGCGCGGTACCTACCACATCATCATCTGCTCTTCCCAAACTACAGGCTGCGATCTCGTTACAGGAGCACACGGTCCATCCTCAACCGTCTGTGTGAAAGCGGGGCAAATGCGCGACTTTCGGCTCACCACGGACATGGAACACAAAGACTCCCGCCAAGACTTGGTCCAACAGCTTTGTATTCACCAACATGGGCCCTTGCATGCTGCCGGCCATAGACCGCACGAAGATGAAACCCTCTCAGCCGTCGGATGGCACATCCAACGCTCACGGTGTCAGGAAAAAGGATCACGTTTCGCCACCCACCCTGCACCCTGCACCTATCATCTCTCGTCGTGTGGCAAATCCAGGAACCATCAAACAGCATAGCGGGTGGGAAGCCACGAATCCAAACAATTTGGCAAGAAAGGCATAACCCCAACAACTAAAACCCAAGCCGTGTGGGAAACCCTAAGCCCTAAGCATTGAAAGAAAAACTGTCTGGCAGGCCTGAGCCCTAAAACGAGACGTCGCGCAGGAAAGCTTCAAATCAGCAAAGCAGATAGTTGGTGGCAGGCCCCCAACCCTACTATGAGATGTTGAAATGAGATAGCTCCCCGTGGTTCCCCCAAACCCTAAGACAAGACACCGTGGGCTTTAAACGCAAGACCGACCTCCAAAACCAAGAAGAATCTGAAAAAGACATGAGGGGAGATGTCGTGTGGACAACCCAAAAAATCCTGAAAGAAGATCATCAGGTGGTGGTGCAAATGTGCACGGCAAACCCTGGACCGGAAGTTTGACGGGCGCACTCCCATGGCCGAGTTGCCTCGAAATCCAACAAGAAATAACACACACACACAAGAGAATGTTTGAAGATGTCCTTCCAACAAGAAATACGAAATCAGATCGCGCCTAGCTTGATGACACCACAGAGCCATGGGGATCTAATGCCAGGAACAAAGCGACTTCAACGGCGTGCGTGCACGGAGTGCTGCAGGAAGCGTTCCGCGGGGCGAGGCTCCCGTGTGACCCGGCACAGAGTAGTACTTGCACACGATCCGCTGTAGACCGTTGCCAGGAGACACAGTTGAAATCCAAGGAAAGAACAAGCTCTGCCCATACCCAGTTCTGGCGCTGGCCCGCAGGCCAAACCACCAAGCTGAGTGACAAGGGCTGGCGGACACAAAGCCTTGAAGGAGTGATGCGCAGGAGCACGCCGCAGCCAAGAACGAAAACACCCTAAGCTTGCGAAGCCCGACTGAGCAAGCATGAATTCCAATTGGAGCGATGTCAAGAAAAACTACAGAAAAGCCGAATTCAGCATGTAGAATCAGGCTGTAAACCGCAGATCCTACAATAAGTGATGCAAAGCCAACTACGCAGTCCACCCGAGATGATGGCAGTCAGGCCAGCGAGCCCTAAACCCTCAACCGAGTGATGGTTACCAACGTCGGGCGTCTGTTTCGCACTCATCGTTACTGTACCGCTGCGAAAAGCACTTGGTAGAGTGACAGCCGGGTCACATGTTCCTTGTCAACCTCGAAGAAGCGCCGCAGGTTCTCGCGTGTATCCGAGCGGCCGAAGCCGTCCGCTCCCAGGACCTAAGTTGAGGCTCCGGTCGCAAAAAATCGCACAGCATCCAAGACCAGCAATCGAGGCACGATGAAATCGCCACCCACCCAAGGAGCGATCAGCTTTGGGTAGGCCTTGCAGAGTACATAAGCTTAGCATCAACTCATTTCAATCGATTGGGGTAGCTGACTTGGACCCGAGCTGTCATGTTGTCTGACACGGCCACAGTGACTCCTCCATCTCCAAGGCATTGTTCCACCCACGACGTCGGCGCCTGCAAGACATCAGCGGCTTTTCAGTGACTGCAACTTTCGGACTGCACTGTCACACGTGTGGCGGCTTTCGGCTCACAGGTGACAGTCCAGCAAGAGACGAAACTGCATGCAGAACTCGCGGAGTTGCTTTGGCTCTACGCTGTCGGCCTCACCACCGAGACGTTCTAGTCGCTGGCATGCAATGGCTTCGCGCTGAAGCTCCCCATAACCTGACATCTCTCATGCCTTTCTCTCCCGCAAAAACGTCGGGCTCAGAAGAATGCTTCTGGCTTGACACCGCCGCGCTGACTGGAAGGCGAGAGACTCGTTGCACTCCAAAGCTCCACTCCAACACCTCGAACCAGAGCCAAACCGCAGAATGCAGAGTGAATGCCGAAAACACTGAGAGTCTGGGGCAACCACCGTATTCTGCGAGGATGTCAATGGCGTCCATGGCCTGGCTTTCACGGAAGCACCGAGGGCCCGTCGAAAAGAACCGGCTCCGGACCTGCTTCATGATAGCGCCAGAGCCAATGATCCGCACCTTCCGGTCCAAGCATTTCCACCATGCAGTTCCCTCATTTGCACGGACTTAAAAAACCAGAAAAGGCCCAATTCCGTCATGAAGGCCAATTTTTGAAGATGCCATGCGATGCCCGAAAAGCAGATACAAGACTTCTGGATTCAATTCCTCATGAGAATGACGAGCCAGTTTTGACCACTCGTCACGATACATCAAGCCTGAACGTTGCCTTTTGGTGTAGCAGCCTTGCCCTCGCTGTTGTCTCATGAATTGGTCTAGCAAGAAGTTTCCTTATGACTGCTGAGAAGTGGCACAAAACGTGACATCCGAGAGTCAAGCCTTGTGGTCTGCGCTCTTGGCATCAGAGAACTTGTACAAGCCCTTGACGATGCCTTCGTCCACACCCTGCACAGAATGGAGGGCAGCAGCCCTGTAAGGCATTCAGATGATGGGTGGTCGTTTCTATTCAGTTTCTCAGACAAAGGCTGCCTCAGGCTTCTCCGGCATCGCCATGTTCTCATTGTAGGCCGTGACATAATAGATGACATCCTTGTCCTGCCAGGCATCCAGCACTGGATAAACTGCAAGCTTTCTCCTGAAGGCTGAGACCCTGCGGCCTCGCCCCACATCTCTTTCACACCGTTCTCGATGATTGCCGCCATTTCGTAGCCAAACGCAGGGTCGTATCCCTTCACAGCCTCAGATGCGAAGTGCGCTGTCCGAACTTGTTTTTTCCTTAGCCGACTGCCCAGATTGTGGGGCTGCGTGCTCCCACGCTGATGCATTTTACATACCGCTCCGTGGAAGACATCAGCCTTTGAAGCCAGCGGCCGGGCAGGTGTGCGCGATGAGCAGCGAGTGCCCATCCTGGCCGCGCGAGAGCAAGGAAGCGAGAGAAGAGTGACAAACTGTCAAAGACAGATAACACTGTCTGTTCAAATAAGCGAAACATGCTTTCTAGTTCGAGTCCTGCGAAAACGGAAATGTACTTTAAGCTGCTCTGCCGAGTCAGCTGTCCTGGTGCTGCAAGCCTTCTCCGTTCAACGTGGTTCGACCGTAAGTCGCACCAATGAGGAACCCGCGCGCTCGTGCATCTGCGGCCTGCCAAATGCTGTCGCCGACCTCGTGCGAGAACAGCAATCGACATGTCGTAGTCCGAAGTCTTGCAACTGAGCTACACGTTGAAATCCAAACCTTGGTAGCCAACACGTTGCAAACACCATATCAAAATGCTGCAGGCACCTGCTGTGAACAGCGAGCTCAAAGCATTTGTGCAGCTATAGAGCATTGAGTAGTAAATCAAGAATGGCAGTGTCGGCGCGTGCTGCGACGAATAAGACGTCGCCGAGGCGATCCAGGTCATAATAGCACCACCCTCACCTGGATGCTGCATGCACTTCAGCTCATGTTTCAACTGCGAAAGCCCCTCCCGTCGCTCTCAGCACATCTCAACTTAAGCACTGGGTTCTGAATCGGAGAGTTTAGGGACGTACACGGACCGACTTGGGTCATGCGTCCCAGCAGCTGCCGTGACGTCACAGCTTGATAACAACAAGCAGACCAAGCGCTCCACACCCCGCTGCTCCTTCGGACCACATTCACCATCTGAGCACCCACCCGTGTCGAGAGAAACTCCCGTGTGCTGTCCGACCATAAGAGAAAGGCGTGCTGCATAGATTAGGCATCATTCAGATACAGTGCCGTAGCGACTGACAAATCATGTCTTGGCGCTCGTGAACATGTGCTCCCACACTAGCCAAAAACACTTAACAAGGAGTCACAATCTAAGATCATACACACTATTTTCATCTATTTTCTACGTTGGGCTATGAGGCGTGCGACTCGCATCCGCCTTTCCCGGCAGCGAATCAGATATTCGCCCCTGATGTGAGGGCAAGGCGCGTACCCCGAACCTCAGGCCCATCATTGGGCCATACTACTTAATCTTAAAATAAATACCGAAGTTTCTCAATCCTCAGGCAACAATAAGCGTTACCGGCCGGCGGATGGGGGCCACTGCGTGCAAACGCCACGCTGAAGCACGACCGATTTCTTCTTCGAGCGGGTCTAGCAGAGGCATAGCAGTAATAATGAGCCCCAGATCCTATCTCAGACCCTTTGTTTCGTGATGGAGTCTGGAGACGGGTATGTTGACTCAGCACTTGCGCGTACTCTTTTCTCAAGCATGGCTCCAGCAAGGTCCAACGAATCGTGGCCCTCCAGACAAGCAGCTCGGGGAAGGTGGGAGCAGCGTGCTTACGATATGGTAGCGTCCTGACGCATGTGCAATGGGATCGTCTGAAGTTTGTGAAGCCAATCGAAGTAAACTGTGGTGGCAGCGAACTTGGCGGGAGGGTCTTGTATTGCCTGATGCACTGCTCCAACAGCCTTACCGTTTAAAAGTGAAGGGCGATGCTTTACGTTGGATGGTCAGCCGACGAATTTAGCAAAGAAGTTGAGAAGCTCCACAAGTTTCGAGACCCATAACTCTTGTGCTGTCCACTGCCTCGCTCCGTTCCGTCTGTCACGCATTCGTCACCAGTCACCAGGGCAGAAATTAAGCTGAGGCCATCACTGATGCCTTCTTGCAGAATCTGCCCACTGGGTGACTCAGCATACTTCATAACCTGTTCCAGGCGTTACAGGCATCCAAGCAAGCAAGCAATCAAGCAATCAAGCTCAAGCAAGCAAACGTGCTGGACGCCTGATCTGCATCTACCGGCGTGTAGTTCTGCCCGAAGGGCGCATGGATCTTGAAGATCGGGAAGAATGCATCGATCCCGAAGGTTCGTGACCTCAATCAACCACAGGTTCACAGGTCGCACAACCCGAACCTTGCTTACCACCGCACATCACAGCGACATCGCTAAGCACCCCTCTCATCCGTGACCATCAGTGTCACCCGCTGTCCGAACTCACCAGCCTGGACCCCATGCTTTCAGAACTAAAAGTCTCCCTGCAAGGCAACACTGCTCGAGCACATGCCTGCATCATCTTTCTCAGAATCTGCGCGAAGCACATGGTCGTGCTGATCTCTCTGCCTTTAGATCCTGATGTGGCTCAATTCTTCACAACGGCAGAGAGACCTGGAACCTACAAAATCATACAAAGAGTCCTGCCGACTGCCGAAAGCATGCCAGTCGGCACAGCTACATAGAACATCTGCTGCAGTATCGTGCTGATTCTTTGCGGTGCGCAGCTGTCACTGCTAGTGCCGATGACTGGGGCGATTCCTGTTGCAAGTTGCCGGTCCTGTGTCAAACATGTCGTAGACATCGTGCTTGGGCAGCTCGACCAGTGCAGAAACCTTCCGAAAAGATTTGCAACTCGAACTCAACGCCCACCTGCGCAACACGCAGCCCAAGCCACCTTCGCCGGTGCTCGCAGGGGAAGGTAGCCTCCCAGAGCCTGCCGACGCTCCTTCAGGTACTTGACCTGCCGGAGGCCCCAGATCTCCCCAAACCGGCCCGTTGAAGACACGGATCTTCATATCCCAGCCGATAGCATTAAACTGATGCTGCCTCTGGGGAGTCCTCCTTGAGCGTAACAAAGTTTTCTGCCTTTGGGGTGCAGAAATGGGCTTTTGCAGAGCGACCTGCTTCTTGGGATCCAGGCATCTGCTTTTCCCAGTTGCTCATCTGACAGAGGAATGCCCATGGCATCACCTAGAGGAGCTCTCAGGGATTCAACTCAGAAGCCCGGATTTAGCAACTGGGCACACCACGATACGCCTTCCTTAAGGCACAGAATCTCTTCTCTCCCAGACCCTCACAGCCCTGGTCCCTCAAAGACCTGAGACCCGAACATGTCGGAGTCTGACATCATCTTCTTCTGATGAACCGTGTTTCTTCCCAGGAAGGTCTGCAGACTGTAGCCCTGCGCAGGGCAGCCGCAAAGTGCTTCCTCCGTTAGGGGTGCGACGGTCAACCGGCCTTGAGGGTCTTGACGAGAATCACCTCAGAGCAACGGCACATTGAGGCCACTGGAACAAGCCGGTGGTGTGCTCTGCTTCGGCAGCCAAGGCGCTGTGGGTCGGCCTCCCATCTCCGAGTTCTGTTCTGCCTTCGAGCGAAAAGTCTTTCATGCGATGCACTGATGCACTGATGCCATGCGGGCGGGGCCCCGCCTGGGCAAAGGCTGCATAGATCTTGGAGTGGTCGTGACCACCAGGGACCTGGAAGGCCTGGGCCAAGGCAGTGCCCTCCTTCAGAGGCTCTCGGCTCTGGGATGCTCTGTTTGGGCTCCTCCCTTGCGACGGACCTCCAGCAGCTCGGCATCGCTCCAGTGAGCGACACGGTCCAGCAGCCCGTGCTTCTCGAAGATATCCTGTCACAACCGAGGGTGCAGTTCGAGCAGAAATCTCAGCCAGGGAGGAAGCCGGGGGTAACTTCTGTGGCCTTGCGGATCAGCGCACCGTCGGCCTGGAGCTAACACGAAGAGTGTGCGCATGCTGAGGCGTGCGGAACACCGCAGTGCAACGCAACACCCGCAAAAGCATTCCCTGCAGCGCAGCGCCTTTGCATGGAGGCGCTGGCAGTCGCCATCGACTGTGGCTTCTAGTGCCTGACACAGGGGTTGAGGCTGAAAGGCTGAAACTGCTGGGACTCAGAGTGGTTCTGCGAGCCTCAATGAGCTTGCCATCGTGGTCTTGCTCAATGAGTTCGTTGAACTTGCCGCCCCAAATAAGCTTGATGACATCGAAACCAGCTCCACGGAAAGTTCCCTCGTACTCCTGCATGACCTTGGAATTGCCACGAACCGGACCGTCCAAGCGCTGGTAGTTGCAGTTCACGATGAAAATCATGTTGTTCAGGCGCTCTCTGCCTGCCACTGAGATGGCCGTGATGGACTCCGGCTCGTCCATCTCTCCATCACCCACGAAGGCCCAGACACGGCTCTTGGAGGTGTCTGCCAGACCTCTCAAATGAAGATACCGAAAGAAGCGGGCCTGATAAACAGCACCCAAAGGTCCCAGCCCCATGGACACTGTCGGATTCTCCCAGAAATGTGGCATCAAACGAGGGTGCGGATAGCTGGAAACGCCATTGCCGGCGACCTCCCGTCGGAAGTTCATAACCTGGTCAATCGACAGCCGACCCTCGACAAAGGCTCTCGAGTAGGCTCCGGGTGCAGCGTGTCCCTGCATCCACACGCTATCCCCTCTTCCATTGCCGTAGTCCTTCCCTCGGAAGAAATGATTCATTCCGACCTCCAAAACATCACAAATGGACGCGAAAGTGCCGATGTGACCTCCAACCCCGCCGCCTCGCCTGTTTGCGTCGCTGACCATGACTGCTGCGTTCCAACGGATGATGTTGGAAAGGCGGTCCTCCATGGCCCTGTCACCCGGATACGCGGGTTCGGCAGACGTGGGAATGGAGTTCACCATGGGAGTGACTACGGGCTGCGAGATGTGAACACCAAGGCGTGATGCCTCTTCCATAAGCTCATGCATAAGGAAGCGGGCCCTCGTTGTTCCCAGGTTCTGAACAACTGCATCAAGCGACTCCAGCCACTCGTGAGTTTCCGACTCATCAAACGTAGGCCTTGCCGCCCGAAGTCTTTCCTGGTTTGAAGGAAAATGCCCTGTGTGCTGATGCATGAAGGCCAGAGAAGCCGAGAATGCAGGCATCTCTCCTTGCAGCCCTTTGGCAAATTCTCCGTACGTGATGATGCCAGACTTGTCGGTGTCGAAGTGCGCGAAGAGAGACTCGCTCTCTGGATCGCTTAGCTTCAAACCCACAGAAGCCATCGTCTCCCGAAACTCCTCTGGGTCCAAGCCCTTCGAGACATTCTGGTCAGCCTTTGCAAACCAAGAAGCTGACAGAGACGACAAGGTCGTAATGCCTTCCTTGGCGAATATGTTGCCAAGCTCGGACAAGAGATCATGGGGTGCGCGATTGCCGCCGATGCCCACACCTGAGGGTGTGCCTCCATGTCGCCAGTGGAGGGCCATGCCACGGGTCACTTGACGCAGCACCATCGGCCTCCGAAAGACATGGCCCCGGCAGAGGCGAGCGGCCAAAGTCATGCCACCACCACTGCCAAGGACTGGCCAAGGCAATCTATGGCACAATCTAGATACTTAACTCAGAAATGGCACACGGAAAGGCGGCACGGAGGACTCAGCCGATGCAAAGTTATTGCAAAGTCTCCTATCACACATCTGCCTGACGTGGCAACAGTGGCCTGAGTTACGCTCTGCTGAGGTGCCAGCGCCGCTGCCTCGAAGTCCTCCAAGAACAGCTTCCGCCGTCGGGCCTTTGATGTCTTCTGCACCGAGTGGGCAGGGCCCTCTCTTCCTGCTCAAGCTCAACTGCTTCATGTCTTGGCTTCAGCGAGCTGCTATTCAACAGCTACGTTGCAGAAACCATTGAATGCTCTGTGAGCCTCCCGGTGTCGAGGCCAGTTGCCAGTTTCCCCGGAACGTGTCGTGCCTAATCATCTAATCGAAAGCATCGGCAGCTGCAACGCCAGCTGCATAGCCACTCGACCAGCATCCTTGGAAGTTAAAGCCGCCGGTGATACCGTCGATGTCCACGATCTCCCCTGCAAAGTGAAGTCCTGGACAGGATCTCAACTCCATTCGGTCCCAATCGAGTTCTCGCACGTCCACTCCACCTGCAGTAACAAATTCTTCCTTGTTCGTTCGACGGCCACGCACCTCCACCTCGAGCGCCGTGAGGTGATTCCACAGTGCAACTGCAAGACATCTGCCGGCATCTGGAAACCCGAAGACAGCCCACGGCCACTGTGCCAGCGGCAAGCCGTCTACCCTGTACTGGCGCACGAAGGGTCTGAACTTGCTGTTACTTTCCTCGGCTTCGAGCTTTTGCAACAGCCGTCCCCAAAGCCGAGCAGGCAGCAGGCCTGGCCACGGTGACACGTCTCCCACTGGCTTCCGTCGCACGGGAGGACGGCTACCACGACCCAACGGGACAGCAAGTATCGCTTCGACGGCATCATCGAGAGTCAGCGATGGAACCCAGTTCACTCTCAACCTGGCCCGATAACCAGCCTCTTGAAAAGCGAAGGCAGCCCAAGCCGAAAGACGTAAAATGGCGGGCCCAGATAAGCCCTCATGGGTAATTAGCACTGGCCCACGAATGCGTGGAAGATGCTGAGAGCCAACGAGTTCGAGAGCGGCATCTGGCACGCTCAGTCCTTGCAAGCCTGCTAGGTCACAGGAACCTGTCAGAACAGAGAACAGTGATGGAGCCAGCGGGCGAAGGTTGGCACCAGCGTCACGCAACAACTTTTGCACAGACCGCTTTTGAGCTGAACCCATGCACAAGATCGCGCGCCTGCAAAGAATGGCTTGCTCCCCAGACTCAGTTTGTACTTCGAGAGAGAATCGTGTGGGCTCTGCGGACGTCCTCTGCAATGTGCAAACTCTGCCTCCCAGTAGCATTCTGATGCCAAGGGAGGCTGCGGTGTTGACCAAGCAGTCAACAATACTCTCAGACTTATCTGAGACGGGAAACACTCTTCCGTCCTCTTCCGTTTTGAGCTGAACGCCTTTAGATTCAAACCACTTGGCGGCATGAGCAGCACCATGTCGCAGGGCAAGCTGAGCCATGATCTCCGAGCCCCGAGGGTAGCTGCTTTCAATTGACGCCCCCGGACTATGTGTAACATTGCATCGTCCTCCCCCTGAAATGCTGACTTTGTGGAGAAACTTCGAAGAACTTTCAACAATCAAGATCTCCTGTCCACGTTGCGGTGCCGTTGCAGCTGCTTCAGCGCATGCAATCGCTGCATAAAACCCAGCAGCTCCACCACCAACGACACAAAGCCCAACAGAGTGGGGAGAACGGGGCAGCGTGCGGACAATCGACATGAAGTTAATGGCACCAAGTCAGTAAGCTAATTAGACGGTCAATGACGGGCATCAGGAGCAAAACCACTGTTTCAGTATTTAACGAGGGGAGCGATGACGCGAGAAAGGATCCAGGGGCAATGAAAACAGAGCCGTTGCAAGCTGCAGCGCACAAAACACGAAATAACGACCACAGAAAAAGGCTCGGAAACGGGAGGCTCAAAGGCTGCAATCAGGCTGAAAACTCTACGAAAACCGGACCTCGGAATCGGAATGCCCTCGACACTCGGGATGCATACTTTGCTCCAAGATTTCATGACTCAGCGTGTAGTGGGTTCATGCACCCATCAAACTGGAAGACGTGTATGTCACAGCAAACTGTCGGCTGCATATTACAGCTTCCGAAGAAGCTTCTTCAAACGATTGGAAAGCCAAGCATTTTTCAAGTGCGCAAATCACATTGCAGAAAGCCTCCCGCCACGATGACACTGAGCTACTGGGATCAAGTGCTGAAAGTCAAGGAGGCATCCAGAGTCTCGAAACTGTTCCGGATGCAGCTCTCTCCCTCAAAAGGAGCGCTAGCATCTGAAGTCTGAAGTCGTTTCTCCTTGTCCACTGTGGGTGACTACACACTCATCACCTGTCGAAGGTCAGCAGAATCTTGCCGACAGCTCTGCGGCTTTTCTGCCTGTCCATTGCTTGCTCAATGGCATCACTGGACTCCAAGGCATCATACTTGGAGTCAATCGGCACTTCGGTCAGCTTGCCGGAATCGAAGAAGCTATTTAGCTTCAGCATAAGAGTTTTGGTCGGTAGCAGAAAATACCAATCGTAGCCTTCTCTCTGCAATCGCAGTCCAAACGGTCGAGTGAATCCGTCCCAGAATGCGCGAAACTGGTCTGATGGCTTGGGACATGGCCCTATCGCCAAGTAGGTTCCGTTTTCCTTCCGCAGTGGCCCCAGCATGGGCTCGTAGTTAGGATCCTCTGGAGCACTACTTGTCACTGTGTCGTAGACGACATCAAAATATCGACCCTTGGAAAAGAGCCCAGCCATCTTGAAAGGCTGCTTGTAGTCGAAGACAGCATCAACGTTAGTATGCAGCTGCTTGACGAAGTCGATATTCTGGCTTCCACAGATGCCGGTGACCTTTGCACCCATCGCACCTGCCAGCATCACTCCGAACTGGCCGCATCCACCCGATGCTCCCACCACGAGCACCTTCTGCTTGGGGCCAAGCCCACTGCGCTCGTAGCCCATCAGGGTTGTAAGGCCCGCGACACCGAGGCCAGCAGCTTCCTCGAAGCTCAGCTTGCCAGGGATTGGCACGGTTAGAAAGCAGGGCAGCACAGCAAACTCCCCTGCTACGCCGATCGAGATGCCCCACACCTTATCCCCCGCCTTCACGTTGCATGCACTCGACGTGCCGGCTGAAAGCACAACTCCCGACACATCGTATCCTACGGGCCAGTCTTTGCGCAAGTGTCTGATGAAAGGCCACGTGGCAGTGATCATGGGGTGCTTGAAGTTGGACGGATTGAGCGCCACTGATTTAACTTGAATCAAGACTGAGAAGGAGGAGTGATGAGGAACTGGTATGTCAGCCATTTTCCAACCAATATCGTCTCCGACTGTGTAGACAGCTGCACGCATGGTAGTGCGGCCAACGATTTCAGCTGTGTCATACGTCAGCTGATTCAGATGCAGGCTAGACCCCCTCAATGCCTCAAAACCTCCCAGCAACACTGCTGCAGCAAGCGCTTGGCAGGAGACGCACGTCAATTTCTTGGCAGCACGCAAGTAGAAGCACGACCACCACAGTTGATGCCTCTATGGCATATATTGTTGATTCCAGCGACATCGCGCACCGAGACACTTGGGCTTGAGAGCTTGCGCATCTGAAAAGGGTCATGACAAAACAGTCAAAACTGTTGCAGCCTGCAACAACCGTGTTGGCACTTTTTTGAACCTCTTCAGGATGGGAGCATTTCTAGGTCCTTCTAGGTTTGTTTGTGCTTCGCAGACGCAGAGGTGCGGCAGGCGGCTGACTGAGGAGCCGCCACATCAATCAGAAACTCAGATCTTGGAAATCTGATTTGGCTTGACCAGCACAGAAGAGTCCTCTGCACGTGGCAGTGACAGAACATGGCTCGCCAGTCCCCATCCGTGCCTCATCCACCAGAGCGACCTCGAATTTGCCAGTGGCGGCATCAAGTTTTCTGAGCACACCAATCTTCCCATCCAGCTTGTCATCTGCCGTAGACTGCAGCTTGACCTTTTACATGGACAAGACATGATTCGAGCAACTGTGGCTGCTCAATATTGCGATAGAACAACGTTGTTGCAGGCGCCTTGTCGCCAGGTCTTAGCAGGACAGGTTCGTCTGCACCGGTGGCTGCCTTCTGCTCCTCCTTTCCCAAACCAAACGGGGTTTCCTTTTCTGCCTGACAGCAAGGGTGCACTCATCGAAGTGTGAGAGTTAGCTGGAATGCTGCGGCGATGGGCTGATCTGCCTGCTTCTCGATTTCTGAGAAGTCCCAGCCGTCCTCAGACTGACGCAGACTCTCATCATTCATCGAAAGAAGCAGAAGGACGCTAGAAGTCATCGGGACCTCCTTGACAAGACACATATTCCCGAAGACGGCCGACAACAGGATATTTCACAGTGAAGTGCTTGTACCAGCCGGCAAGAGCCTTTCGCTGGTCTTCAGTGAACTGAGCCAAGGTGAAGTCGAGTTTGTTTGCCTGAAAATCGGCGTGCGATGCTTGCGGTGACTTGGTGACTTGAGCAGTACGGACAGGGCGCATCCTCTGGCTTCAAGGAAAGCGTGGCCAAGGCAAAGGTCGCATCCTTGCCCGCCCAGAGTCGCCCGTAGCCCTCGCCAACCTCGCGAGATGAAAGATGAAAATCGGAGGAGGAGGAGGAGGAGGAGGAGGAGGAGGAGGAGGAGGAGGGGGGGGGGAGGAGGAGGGGAGGGAGAATGCAGCGGAAGATCCAAATCTGGGCATCACCGAGCTGCAGTGATGTTCTCGCTGCTGGACACATTCACCTTGGAGCACCGGCTGAGGAAGCGCCACAGAGGGGGCTCCAGCTCCAAGCAGTCGCATGCCAAGGCACGACTTTGCCACAAACGCCCATGAAAATTGGTCCCGTCACGCCGTTAAACCTTCCCAGCAGCTGCAAGTCGAAGAGGCCATCCTTGCGAGCCGAGTTCAACCCCCCCCCTCTCTCTCTTTTCTCTCTTCCTTTCAAATTTGGACGACCGCAGCTTGCCAAGACTCCGCTGGGATCTTGGCGCTTGTACGCTTCCGTCTTAAAAAGTAGAAAAGCAGGATGACTGCCAGCCCGAGAATGGACGTGCTCGCGAGGAGAGCGGGACTGCGGACGGCGCCTGATTCAAGCTGCTCCGTCCACTCAAGAAAGGCACAACAAGGCACGTAATTTGGAATGAGGACAGCACCCATGGACACGCTCTCTGCATCCACTTGATCCATCCGCTGCGTTCTCTCCACTTGTCTTGCCGATGCCTATGTTCATGCTCTTGCCTGGACTCTGCTTCAGCCTTGTCTGCTTCGCCCTACGACACCCCTTTGTTCGTGTCTGGAGGCTGGAGGTTTTCTCCTGTTGAGCACCAGACGGCCTTGGAATCCCAAACTGCGCTTCACTTACATGGGGGCAGAATTGCTTCGCCACAACCCTCCACCAACACTCCCAGGTTATGGCATCCGCAAGTTGCTGCCATTAGCATCCCGAAATCCCTAGGCTCTCTGCGGGCAAAGCCAGGCACGACAAACTAGATTGGCTGCACATTCTGCATGACTCGAACGCTAAGTCACTAGGTTCCCTCATGTGCACGACCCGGCACCGGCAATTAAGTGCTTTTCTGGCTGTCGTGCGATCTGACTCCTGAAGGCTTCGCGTTCCTGTTCCCAGCCTCCGCTAAATTTCTCATGAGGAAAGCTCGACGCTGGCTGGGCTTCTCTTACTCAGAGCCGGGCTCTGTCGTTCCTCGTCAAATGCTTGGAAGCGCACACACGCCTGTGGAAAGAACTGTCAGCAGAGCAGTGCAGAGAACGAATGAAGCACCAAGCCACAAGCCTGTTTTAGGCGCCGTTCCATGTCAACAAGTCGATGCTCCGTATCCTTGGGATACGGAGCTTTCCTTGGTCCACTGCCCGGCTCCCCGCTCCAACCTTCTTCCGCCCTGTTCCAAGAATATCGCAACCTCAAAGCCAAGGCACAAAGCCTGAACATCCAGGGAGTCTCTCCTTCAGCCAAACAAGGAACACAGACACACGCACACACACACACACACACACACAGAGACACACATGCACACAAACAAACATTCGATGACTGCAAGGGTCTGCTGGGTGTCCGGAGACTGCGAAACATGTCGACAGTAAGTAAGCCACTGTTTGAAGTCGAGCAGCAGTAGCTGTACATTGATCTGGGCTTCGCTGAGATCATGCTGCAGCTGCCGCACCGTTTTTTTGAGCTGGGCATTCCTTGCGGCAACAATGATGATCCAACTGTCACCAGGCACTGTAGCAGATTACATCATCGTCTTGCCCAGTCGCTCCAGTTCCAGCTCCTTGACGTAGGAGATCCTTTGCTCCTGGTCCTGACATTTCTGCTTTGCCTTCGATGGCTCTGCAACTGATGCTGCTCCTCGTTGCCATCCCGGCGCTGCCCACCCTGCAACTTGGATGCAGTCTGTCTAAGCTTTTGAAGTGTCGGTGCACTGAGCCTCGAGAAGCAAGTCACTTGCCCATCGCTTCACCCTCGCCACACTTGCCTTCCATAGCGCGAGAAACCGTCGTTTTTCGATCCAAGATGTCTCGGCGCCTCGCTGCTTGAGTGAGAAGGAGAGCCGGGCAGCACGAAACCCAGCTGGGAGCCGGCACCAGCCTGCAACCAAGAAAAGGGGCAGTTGGACGCTTTCCGCACTTTTCCACTCTCCGGGCGCCTGCAAGAAAGTCACCAGACTTGCAGCAGCACCGGCCATGCGAGCCACGGCTGCTGGGGTCTTGCCTTGCCTTGGCGCCGCTGCTCGTCTAAGGCCCCTCTGAACGCCCAAGGCTGAGGCTTCTCTGAGACTGGGGTGCCCCACCGATCTCGCGCGTTGATGTCAGCTCCACCGCTGCACAACAGAAGCACTGCTTTGGCCTTGCCAGACGATCCGAATTCAACCAATCTAGAGTCTGCAGCATACAGGGATACTGCCGGACGTTAAGGACGTACGACCGCTGTCCGCACACAGTTTCACAAACTGACTGTCAGACCTCACGCACGTCACACTCTTCCAGTGCTGCTGTCGCCGCAGCGCTGTGAAGCGGGGTTACCTTGCAAGGCAACGGCAATGCACGCGGACTCAACGCTCAGCTGCTTTTGCCTGCTACCCGCAGACACTGCAAAGCAGGATGCACAAAGTCCACAAGGATGCGACAACGGCCAGAATGATCACAGAGTGCCGGACCCCGAAGTTGTTCGCAGCTGATGGGTCAGCCAGAGCCTGACACAGCGGCAAAATGCCATGCAGCCGAAGACCAACTGTCTGCATTCCGACCCGGCAGTGGATAATGGTGGAGTTGTGTTGGCATGGAAAACTGGTGGCGGGGGGCTGAGAGGCTCCTGAGTCGACCACGGCATGCTCTCAACACATCCGAAAGCTGTTTGCTGCACCGGCCCATTCAACCGTGTGCGGACGGTCTCTCTGCATGCGCAGGCTTCGGGAACTGTGGCCTTCAGAAGAAGCTCGATGGTGGGCAGCTGCTGATAACCGCATGCGAGATGGAGAGGGGTGTCCGCCTCGTCCTCAGGCTCGAAACCTTCTCCTTTGCCTTACGTACTATGCTCGGCCGAGAGACCGTCAGAGCAGCAGGGCTTGCAGCCGCATCCAACCTTGTTCCGACAGGTCGGCAGAGCGCAGCGACAAGGTGCAGCAATTCGGCAATCCAAGTGACAGGAGCTGCACAATCGCAGGGCTGGAAGAGGAAGCGATGTGCAACCTTGCCCGTCAAGCGGCATGACAGGTGCTGTGCTGGATCTACCGAGCTGAGATAGAAACGCCCGATAATTATACACGCCTGCCGGGCTACCGTCAGCGCTCATGAGCTCAGCCGCTCCGGAAAGATGCGCTGTTCCGTGACAGCCTGGCCTGCAAGATTTGGATCAGCGTCCAACTGCAAAAGGAAGTCGACCACGTCCGCATGACCACATAGGGCCTGCAGCTGCTTACACGCTTCCACACCCGATCCGGCATCTGCCTCCCGCAGTTACTGTGGTCGTGACTGCAATGTGAAGTGGGGTCAGCTCGCGCTGACGTGAATGCAGTTTGACCACCGTCGCCTCTGGGGAGACACTTCCTAGTTCAGACCACCTGCCCCCACTCTGTCAGAGCTTCAGAGGCTCTGGCTTTGGACCGCTTGGTCGAAGCTGCGACTTTCTCTATCGATCCCTGCGTGACGAGTTGAGCATTAAGCCTATGAGAGAAACCCATTGCTCAGCCCGGGCCTCCCAACAGGAGATGTGGACAGGGCTGCTGGAGCCGTATCTGTGTGTCAGCAGCTGCAGGAGCTGATGGGCATGCTTCCTGAGAAGGTGCTAGTGCTAGCTAAGAAATCGTGGCACAGTGGCAAAGAGATACAAAGAGTCTGCAGCTTGGGTTCATGGTGTTTTGGACCGTGCGAAGCGTCATAGTGTTTGCCAGCCTCACAGGAGCGCAGCGAAAAACGTCGGGCTGGTTTCAAGAAGAGGCAGCACAGCCTGGTCTCCCATTCTTCAGGCAAGGATAGATCCGACTGCTTGGTTTCCTGCACATCTCTGCGATACTCTGCGCTAGATACGAACGCACTGCTCCCATCCAGTCCTTGTCAGGTTCTGGCGAAGGACGTGGCCCACTGCCTCGCATGTGACACAGACACTTCACTCTGAGACGAGAAACAACTGTTTGCTTGCACTGAGCACTGGACACACACGGCTGCTGCCACTGGTCTCAGCAACATCAAAGACAGAGCTTGATCCAAGACAAGTTGCAAAAAAGCCCTTCTGAAGGCTCCTGGCTGTGCTAACTCTGCTGCTGTGTGCCTCCGCGACAACCAGGATTTGGAACGGAGAGAGCGAGAAAGAGACGTTAGGAAGCAGCACATGCAAAGAGGCTTGCTGGGACTTCGGCGGACCAGAACGACGACCCCGACCTGCGGCTCAGTCCAAGACTTTGGAGGGAGGAACACAATGTCGGACGCTTGGGACTCACCCAAGCTTCCAAGGATAGCTCATGTAAAACTGTAAACCTTTCTCACGTTCAGCCACGGCTTCAACATCACTCCAGCCACCACGGTCGCACGATTCCAAGTAGGACTGCTCTGTCCGCAACGTACTGCGCATCGTGTTGCTCCTCCGGCCTCGCTGCCGGAGTGAGAACTGGGTCCGCATCAGGCCTCCTACGGAGCAACAGGCCGTTTCTGTGCCTAAACCCGCCCGGACCGAAAGACGTGGCCCGTGGCCGCGCTTTGCTCCTGGAGTCTTCGAGTTGAGGACCCAGCACCTTCATGCCACGAGCAAGCCGAGGATGCTGCTGACTGAAATCCCCGCCTCGCTGGCTGCCCTGGAATCTCGGGATTCCCCCCAAGCCAGGCGCCAGCGGGTCTCCATTTTCTCCAGCTTCGCGCATTTGGGCACTTACGTTACTTTCCGGTTTACCTGTTCTCTGAATAACTGAGGCGAAAGCTCACTACGCTACTGGACTAGGACTTGACGAAGCCGCAGACTCATGTGTCCCGGAGCATTGGTGGTAATCGCGCCAGCGTTCACATCCTAGATTGCCCGTGGGGTGGATCAAAGAAGTACTCAAATGTCAAAGATGATGCTGAGCAGCCAAGGCAAACAAAGCATACAGCCTATTGCTGGTGTGCACACGGATGTCGCTGCAGCAAAACAAGAATGCTCTTAACGGATGGCTTTGTCGAAAGCCGTCCGACCGATCTAGACGTCATGACAGTTTCCGACCGACCTAGACGTCATGACATTTTCTGGCATGTTGTCACCCCCCTTCTTCGGGCTGGGTGTCTCGACAATGGGCTGGGACATTGGTCCACTTGCACATGCACAAGGCCTTATTGTCGATGATATCGATACATACTTTAATGGCTGAAAAGGCTAGGCATTTCAGACACTCATCTTGCAGCTCACATTTTGCCATCATACGGTCATTCGACTCCTTGAGCCCCCCCATGATATCAGCGTCCAGATGGACCGCACATACTCACGGAGGGGCTGGTGCAGCAAGGGCTAGGGCCAAACAGAAGCTTCCGGCTGTCTTTCCACCACGAGTGAACAAAGAATGTATACAGAGTAAATGACGATGACGCAGAATAAACCTGTCTTGACCAACTCCTGTGGCCATGGAAAGCTTGCCACAAAAACCCTCCCTCAGTACACCTGCAAATGTTGAATGTTTCAGACGTAGGATATAATTTTTTCTTCGCTGTGTCTGCAGGCCGTGCCGCGGAGAGGAGATGTTGCTTGCCAAACCCCAAACCCTAAAAGGAGATGTTGGATAAATTAACAAGCCCAAAACCCAAACAAGGTATGTTGATTGAGAATCCATAGAGGCTGGGAGGGAGACGTTGCTTGCCACTTCCACAACGCAAAAAGGAGATGTTTGTTGCTGCACCCACAAGCCCAAGAACAGATGTTGATCGAAAAAACAATGCCCCGAAAAGAGATGTTGTTAGCAATTTCCAAAACATTAATTAACAGGAGACGTTGCCTACCGAACCATAAAACGGGAAGTTGGTTATCGAACCCAAAACCTAGCAAACAAAAGTTGGTTGCCAACACCTCAAACCTGGAAAAAGATGTTGCTTGCCAAGACTGCCAAACCCAAACCTGGAAACACGATGTTGGCTGAGAAGCCCAACACCCTAAAGCAAACATGTTGGCTGCGAAACCCGCAACCCGAAAAGCAGACGTTGGTGTCTGTTGCCACGCACGAAAGGTTGCCGCATCGAAACCCCCGAACGGAGATATTGATTGCTAAACGTTAAACCCAACAAACAAGACGTTGGTTGCAACTTTCAAACACCTAACAGGAGACCTTGCCTGCCGAATCCAAAGCCCTGCAAGAAAAAACTGGTTCAGCAGAACACCCCCAAAACCCTGCAGAGAGATGCTGGCTGCGGACCCAACACCTTCGAACTACATGCTGATTGATAACCCCTAGACCCTAACTTTGCTTAATTGCCAAACCCCTATCCGAAAAGAGCTGTTGGCTAAGAAGCCCAAAACCCTAGGACGATCTGTTGATTAAAAAAGACTTTTGACCCTAAAAAGGCGACATGTTGTCTGCCGTGTCCGAAGCCGTAAAAAAAGATGTTGGACTCCGGGGAGAAGCTGGCTGAGAAACTTACTGCCCTAAGAAGAAATGTTGGTTGCAATTTCCAAAACCCTGAACAAGAGATGTTGCTTGCCGAACCCTAAACCCCAAAACGAGAAGTTGGTTGCCAAACCCAAAATCCCTCAACCCCAAACGGTGATGTTGTTTGCAACACCCAGAACCCCAAAAAAAGATGTTATTTGCCGAACCTGCCAAACCCCAAACCTTCAACCACATCGGTGGCTGAGAAGCCCAGCATGGAGACGTTGCTGCTGGTTGCCAAGTTGCCGCACCAAAACCCTTAAAAGAACTAAAAGAATCTATTGGTTGAGAAACCTCAACCGCTCAAAATGTGCGCGAAACCCTAAAATCTAAGAAACAGATGTTGGCCGCAACTTCCAAACCCCAGATAGGAGATGCTGGTTGCGGAGCCTAAAGCCCTGCAAGTAAAAACTGATTGAGAAACTCACAGCCCCAAAAGGAGATGTTGGGGGAGAAACGGCCCAAAACCCTCAAGGGAAAAGTTGGCTGCCGAACCCCACATAGGCTGGTTGATAAACCCTAAACCTTAAAAGAGACGTTGATGAAGAAACCTGAAGCCCTAAAGGAAAAGATTGTTGAGAAACTCATAAATCATAACACTTCAAAACTTTATTGTTGCGGAACCCTGAACCCTTCAATAAGATGTTGGGTGACGAACCCAACGCCCTGCAAGGGAAAAAATGATGAGAAATCCAAAACGCTAAACCAGATGCTGCCTGCAAAACTCAGAACCCGAAAAGGAGACGTTGCTTAATTGCCAAACCCCTATCCGAAAAGAGCTGTTGGCTAAGAAGCCCAAAACCCTAGGACGATCTGTTGATTAAAAAAGACTTTTGACCCTAAAAAGTGCGACATGTTGTCTGCCGTGTCCGAAGCCGTAAAAAAAGATGTTGGACTCCGAGGAAAAGCTGGCTGAGAAACTTACTGCCCTAAGAAGAAATGTTGGTTGCAATTTCCAAAACCCTGAACAGGAAAGTTGGCTGCCGAACCCAAAATACCCTAAATGGCGATGCCGGATGCGCGACCCAACACCCTCGAACGACATGCTGGTTGATAACCCCTAAACCCTAAAAAGAGATGTTGATTAAGAAACTTGAAGCCCTGACGGGAAAGGTTACTTGCGAAACTCACAGAAATGAAAGACGATGTTGCTTGAGCAACCCTAAACCCTTCAAGGAGATGTTGGGTGACGAACCCAACGTCCTGCAAGGGAAAAAATGATGAGAAACCCAAAACGCTAAACCAGATGCTGCCTGCAAAACTCAGAACCCGAAAAGGAGACGTTGCTTAATTGCCAAACCCCTATCCGAAAAGAGCTGTTGGCTAAGAAGCCCAAAACCCTAGGACGATCTGTTGATTAAAAAAGACTTTTGACCCTAAAAAGTGCGACATGTTGTCTGCCGTGTCCGAGGTGCTTAAAAAAACATGTTGGGCTCCAAGGAAAAGCTGGCTGAGAAACTTACTGCCCTAAGAAGAAATGTTGGTTGCAATTTCCAAAACCCTGAACAAGAGATGTTGGCTGCCGAACCCAAAATACCCTAAATGGCGATGCCGGATGCGCGACCCAACACCCTCGAACGACATGCTGGTTGATAACCCCTAAACCCTAAAAAGAGATGTTGATTAAGAAACTTGAAGCCCTGACGGGAAAGGTTGCTTGCGAAACTCAAAGACATGAAAGACGATGTTGCTTGAGCAACCCTGAACCCTTCAAGGAGATGTTGGGTGACGAACCCAACGTCCTGCAAGGGAAAAAATGACGAGAAATCCAAAACGCTAAACCAGATGCTGCCTGCAAAACTCAGAACCCGAAAAGGAGACGTTGCTTAAGTGCCAAACCCCTATCCGAAAAGAGCTGTTGGCTAAGAAGCCCAAAACCCTAGGACGATCTGTTGATTAAAAAAGAATTTTGACCCTAAAAAGGCGACATGTTGTCTGCCGTGTCCGAGGCCCTAAAAAAAAGATGTTGGACTCCGGGGAGAAGCTGGCTGAGAAACTTACTGCCCTAAGAAGAAATGTTGGTTGCAATTTCCAAAACCCTGAACAAGAGATGTTGGCTGCCGAACCCAAAATACCCTAAATGGCGATGCCGGATGCGCGACCCAACACCCTCGAACGACATGCTGGTTGATAACCCCTAAACCCTAAAAAGAGATGTTGATTAAGAAACTTGAAGCCCTGACGGGAAAGGTTGCTTGCGAAACTCACAGAAATGAAAGACGATGTTGCTTGAGCAACCCTAAACCCTTCAAGGAGATGTTGGGTGACGAACCCAACGTCCTGCAAGGGAAAAAATGATGAGAAATCCAAAACGCTAAACCAGATGCTGCCTGCAAAACTCAGAACCCGAAAAGGAGACGTTGCTTAATTGCCAAACCCCTATCCGAAAAGAGCTGTTGGCTAAGAAGCCCAAAACCCTAGGACGATCTGTTGATTAAAAAAGACTTTTGACCCTAAAAAGTGCGACATGTTGTCTGCCGTGTCCGAAGCTCTGAAAAAAAAGGTTGGGCTCCGGATAAAAGCTGGCTGAGAAACTGACTGCCCTAAGAAGAAATGTTGGTTGCAATTTCCAAAACCCTGAACAGGAGAGTTGGCTGCCGAACCCAAACTACCCTAAATGGCGATGCCGGATGCGCGACCCAACACCCTCGAACGACATGCTGGTTGATAACCCCTAAACCCTAAAAGAGATGTTAATTAAGAAACTTGAAGCCCTGACGGGAAAGCTGCTTGCGAAACTCACAGAAATGAAAGACGATGTTGCTTGAGCAACCCCAAACCCTTCAAGGAGATGTTCGGTGACGAACCCAACGCCCTGCAAGGGAAAAAATGATGAGAAATCCAAAACGCTAAACCAGATGCTGCCTGCAAAACTCAGAACCCGAAAAAGAGACGTTGCTTAGTTGCCAAACCCCGAACCGAAAAAAGCTGTTGGTTCAGAAGCCCAAAACCCTGCGAGGATCTGTTGATTGAAAGACTTTTGACCCTGAAAACCGAGATGTTGTCTGCCATGGCCAAGGCTCTACAAAGAGGCTGGCTGAGAAACTTACCGCTCTGAACAGGAGATGTTGCTTACCGAACCCTAGACTCCAACACGAGAAGTTGGTTGCCGAACCCAAATCCCCAAACCTTCAACCCTAAAAGGTGATGTCGTTTGCAAAACCCAGAACCCCAAAAGAAGATGCTATCTGCTGAACCTGCCAAACCCGAAACCTTGAAACACGGTGTTGGTTGAGACGCCTCACACGTTCGTGCAAGATGTTGGTTGCGAAATCCAAAACCCTAGAAGGAGACGTTGCTGCTGATTGCCAAGTTGCCGCACCGAAACCCTTAAAGGGATCTGTCGGTTTAGAAACCTCAAACCCTAAAAAGTGCACGCGAAACCCCAAAATCTAAGAAACAGATGTTAGCTGCAACTCCCAAACCCCTGATAGTGACAGGAGATATTGGTTACCGAACCCAAAGCCCTGAAAGAAAAAGCTGGTTCAGGAACCCACAGTCCCAAAACGGCGATGTTGGCTGAGAAACCTCCAAGAACCCTCAAGGGAGATGTTGGCTGCCGGCCCGAAATACGCTAAACAGTAACGTTGGTGGCACAACCCCACACCCTCGGAGGATATGTTGATTGAAGTGCCCTATCCCCAAAAGAAATGCTGATTGAGAAACCTAAAGCTCTAAAGGGTGACTGGTTGAAAAACCCAAAACCCTGGAAGAAGATGTTGGTTTCAGAAACAAGCCCAGAAGCCAAAAAGGGATGCAACCAGAAATCCTCAAAGGAGATATTGCTTGCCATTCCAAGAACCTAGCAGAAGAGATGTTGGCTGCCGCACGCAAATCCTTCACAGGAGATGTTGGTTGAGAATCTTAATGCTCTGACAAGGAGACGCTGCTTTTAACACCCTAAGCCCTAAAGGAAGATGAAGCCCAAAACCGTAGAAGGAGATGTGGTTATCGAACCCAATACCCTACAGACATTGGTTGATAAACCCGAAGCTTACAAGGAGACGGTGCAAACTGCCTATGGGGTGCGGAGACGGCGCCGGTTGGTGCGCATCATGAGCATCAGCCGATTACCGGGGCGCTTTTTGGGGCATGCATCATAAGCATCAGCGACACGGGATGGGGCAGGTCTACGCCTGATGACGGCTTGCTCCGGGCTGCTGCCTGCGCTACCCGCCTGTGAGCACAGCCCCGAGGATAATACTATTGTGCTGGCATGTTGTGGGAGGATAGAACTGACTCCATGAAATTCACAACGTATGCCGTCCGAGATCTTCGCAGCGCGTTTCGTTTGCCCAGCCACTGGAAGCCAGACCCTACTGGAAACCCTAAACTTTAAACCGCGGTAAAGACATTACCTGGCTCATAATTTGTCAGCAGGACGCGGATCACGTAGGGTCAGTGGGAACAGCGCACGAAGATGAGAAAAGCTCTTCGTTGGGGATCGTGTGCTTCAAGCCGGACTGCCCGTCCAGAAACTAAGCATCACGGCCATTTGGGGTTACAGCTGCCTGCTGCATGGTGCTGAGTAAAGCGGCATCATTCCTGTCGGCATGTTACTTTGACCATCTGAAGTGGGCTCTGGTCGACATTCCTTCCGTTCATTGCATGGTGTTACCATCTAAATCTAAGTCAGTTCTTGAGCTGTATGTTAAGTTCTGCGCACACTTCGACGGATACTTACTTCAAACGGATTTCGCGGTCCTGAATCGTGCACGTTTCGAGAGCTTGAGGCTGATGAAGGAGCCAGGAAGGATTACGTAGCGAAACTACCCTCAGAGGACCCGGTGCTCGATGCTCAAAGGAAGAAATACATGCTGACCCCAGCCGACTGTTGAGTTGCATACCGAGAGCAGCCGAAACAAAAACATTCACAGCACAGAGACTGTCGTAAGCATTGTTCTTTCTTCTGCATCAGTCTGCAAGCACAGTAACCGGTATCCTGATGCCATCACGAGCACTTAACTTTAATTCTTTGTCAACGCTCTTTTCTGAGATCTTGCTGTCTCGATGGATGCTGCCGAGCATGTCTCAGAATCACCTGCAACAAAAGTCTCGGCATCTCAATGCCCCGTGCCAAGCGTGTGCGACTGCTAAATTCAGATCGTGGTACCACCTTGTCAATGCCACCGGTGAGTTTGCCCAGCATTACAAAACAGGCAGAAGCCTCACAGTTCGTGGGCGGTGCGTATGTGGCAAAGCAGACGAAGTCTCTGAGTAGTCCGCCAGCACCAGCAGCAGCAGCGACCACAGCCATCCCATAGCTTGCAGGAGAGCGAAACCCCAGACCTGCTGGGAGTGGAATGCGTTTGTGGCAGGCATACAGCAGTGAAGCTATCCAGTCGGTTTTGCATCTTATCTCTCGCAGTCAAGCAACATGCCACTTTGTGGAAGCACTGGATTGTTCGATAGTTCGGTCTCCCAGTTGACCACGACATTTGATGATAGCAGAATACAAGACTGCTACAGTGTGCTCACAGAGAGCTGCGTAGTCAAGAAACTGCCGTGCCCAGGGCCGTGGCACTAAATGCCGTCCATTCTAGATAGCTTCGCCGAGCCGCATAATATGTTGTGGCACCGACATTAACTGAATGGGCCTGACTCTCTTAGAGAAGCCACTGTGAGCTTGTGCTCACATCCATGCGTCGGAAGCTTTGGCCGAAAGATGACTGAATTCGTTTCTGTCCACGCAGGACGTCCAGGCCTCGGCTGCGGCAGCACCTAAGGTGATCCGGTCACTAGGAGATCTCTTCGCGGGTGCAGACGGAATGCGACGAAAGCGTGGTTCCACAGGACCTGGACCAACAGGCCTGTGCGGTTTTGTCCCGGCTTTCTGCGTCCATGGTCTCACGAGTTGCCGCAAATTTTGGTGGACCTGTCGGGGTTCTCGTGCCCAGCGCAACAGCCGGGCTTGCCCAGGCCGTTTTGCGGATCCATCGTCGTGTCTCTGAAGCCTTTGCAGCGTTCGATGGCACCAAGCCGCATTGAGGTCTCTGGCAGAGGGCATGTCTTTGGCTCGCTCACCTATGGTAAGGGCATTCCTCAAGCGAAACTCCAGCAGGTGTGCAAAGGCGGATGCTTCGTGCCCTAGAGGACGAGAGGACTCTGCCGCTTGGAGCTGTTTCAGGCAGGACCGGATCATGGCGATGTGCTCCTCCGTCACCAACCCGTGTTTCTCCAGTCGGGGCATAGTTCCCGGAGGGTCGGAAGCAACCTTGAGATGGGTCCTCGCGGCTGACACGTTGAGCAAAGTGTCCTCAAAGCTCTTCAGTGACGCAACAAAGCCCTCACGCACAACGGACGAACGAGGCCCATGTCCGTGCTCGTACAAATTGTCGATCATGGCGAAAATTTCACCGGGATCGAACCGTTCGCTTCCTTCACTTTCGTCTTCCTGCTGTTCTGCACTTCCAGAGATTTGCATCGAGCGCTCCTCTATCGTCCTCTGCACACGTTTCATATCATTGGCAAGAGATCCAAACAGGAACTCTGGCCGAAAGCCACAGGTCTGCTCGACACTCTCCAACTCTTCAAAGAGTTGGCTTGTCTTCGCTAACATGGTATGAGCTGTAGCTGCCGGAGCGATCATAGCAAGCTCGACTTCAAAATTTAATGCTCATGGCGAGGACAAGGCTAGCTAGCAGCACTGCGAACTTGAATGCCAAACGATGCGGAAAGCAAGGCTGAGGAATGTGTGTTTATGAAGCGACATCAGCGGCGACGGAAAGTCAGAAGTCAAGCCTCCAACACGATCAAGGCCAGCAGGCTCAGGAACATCCTCCCGTCGACAATGTGGACTACTGGTAGCTTTGTGAAGAGGGGCATCTCACTCTAGGCCTCGTTTTGACACCACGAACATCTTCGAGCGCAGCAGAGCCCTCTGCCATAAACACCTGAGACCACGGAGCTCTCTTTTCCCATCCCCCAGCTCTTTGAGCTCATCTGAAAGTCTTCTTCCTTCCTCGCGGGATTGGCTTGGCTCGGCAAAGCTGGGGCCGACCCCGTCCCCGACCTCTACCCAAATGCACCAAACGTTGCATGTCGAATGCGGCGATTTCGAGCGGGACGCATCCTGTGATAAGTTCTGAAGCTTGGATATTGCAGGTCTGAGCTTTGCTTATTCGCCATTTTCAGAGCAGCTCGTGAACTTCGCCTTGCTCGTTTCCTCTCCAACCTTTCCCTGACCGTCCCAATCAACTGAGAGGAACCATGTAGAATCCGAAAGGCCATCTGCATTCCGGGAGTCGTGACTCAGTAAGCAACCGGTTGCAGCTCAAGCAGGAGTCAACTCACCACCGGTCTTGGCATCTCAGGCTGTGGCACGTCGATCTGGCTTCTCATGACTACCATCGCCAGCGCCGGCGGGCGCATGAAAGCGATTCAACAGATCCTGACATCGAGCGCTTGAGAAGTCTCACACTGAAGAGGGGGGCACTGTGCCCCTCTGCCGCTCCTCCTTCTCTGCGAACAAGCGGCAGCCTGGCCAATCAGCCGATTTCCCGCCGCGCTCCCAAACTCTTGCTGGCAGGACGGACTCTGAGCCATATGCAAAGCTCAGAGGCACTGGAAGCACTAGGCCTGAGGTCAGAAAGCAAAGCCCCGACAGCCAAACTCAGGGCCTGTGACCGCTAAGCCCGTGTCGCTTCAATTCGACGTAGTCGGATGTGAACTTCATGAGGTATGTGGCCACGAACGAAGACGGCTCCCTGACATGAGCAGCTCTCCATACAACCCACCATTCGAAGTACAATTTGTAACACAGGCCGTTGCCCAATCAATCTTGCCGGTGTTTCTTCGTCTGGCAAGTTGGCGGAGACTGGAGCAACATATGCCTCAAATAGGTGCGGCAGACTGCAGATACAGTACTGCACATGACTGTCGGACTTGCCACAGTATGACTTCTCAAAACCACGTCTCGCGGCTTACGTGCACTCCACGAATACGGGATCGCGAGCTCAGCTTGGGACCATGGTCACATCAACCAGAACCGGCGGTTGCACTTCAAGGTCCTGCACTAGGACTGCTTGCGCAAGGTGGAAAAGGCGAAGGTTCGGCAGCCCAGCACTGCCTTCGCGACATCATCGAGGGCTTGCCATGCTGCGACAAATCCGGCTGTGCGCGGATGGAGCACCTATAAGCGGAGCGACGGAGCGAGGGCAGAGACAACGAAGGCCGGAGGCGGAGGCTGGCCTGCGTGTAGGTCTGCAGGCCCTCTTTTCGAGCGAAGCTTTGGCTCGTCTCCCTGCCACTTTAAAGCCGGTGACAAAGGCCCCTGCACAGCAAAAACGTGTCAGTCTGGCAGATTCGACTTGCTCAGGTCGGTGCCCTGGCACAGCGAAAAACACTTGTAGGACGGTCCAAGACTTTAGTGGCATGCAAACCGCGTCCTCAGGGAACAGCAGCAACGCCAAGTTCCCACGACCGCCTGCCACATGTCATGTTCGGATTACGGGTGCATGTGTCGTCTCGAAAACCCATGCAAGCTCTACTGTAAGCTCCGGAGGCTGCAGCTCACCAGTACGTCAGCTTGCGATCATCAGCCGTTCGGTATTCGCAGTTAAGCCCCACTCCATGATGGGCATCAACGATAATTAGCTTTGCCCACCACCAACCAACGATCCACCGAGCAGAGGTACCAGGTCCTCTTGTTTCTAACATATCCCTTCACAGCGTTCACCAGCAGGCGAAACCCCTACGCCGGCAGAAACGCGCAGCACCAAGAAAGTCATTTCTGCACTCTCGGCAGCCCACCACTGTGACCACAAACATCTCGCAGTACTCGAAGGTCAGCTTCCCTGTCACGTCGACACCTGGCTCACGCGGCCGACAACAGCATGACACGTACAGCACGACAAAACCAAGGAAGCATGTCGGCAGTTCATGAACGGGTATGCAAAACACTGCCTGAGTGCAACATCGTCTAAGGTTTGAACCCCCTTTCCGTTGCTCAATGGCGGAGGTTTCATCAGATTTCAACCAAATCACAGAACTTGCTCAGTTGCATCTATAATGTAACGTCGGAACCCAATGTTACAGGCACTTTCGATATCTTTCGATGCATGGTTGGCCCATTGGGGCGGCTCACCTCAATCGCAGCGATCTCGACTTCATTCTCAGTCGTGCAAACAAGTCAACCCCCCACCATCGATAGCATCAGCGATGGGACATTCGCATAGTCTTCCTTGGACCACCCAAGCTCCAGTCTTGCTCAGTCTCCAAGCTGACATGGGACGTCTCTGAAGAAACAAGACGCCGGCACACGTCAGAAGGTGACATGATCTCAAAGGGTTGAAAAGCCTCTCCATAAACACATCTGTTGTGCAAAAAGACAGGGAAGTGTAGCGAATGCACAAACCTGAAAGGGCTGGACGAACACCCAAGCCTCTGGGCAGTGGAGTTCAGACCACGCGACCGTTGCTCAAAGAAGCTGTGCGATTCAAAACGGAAAAGAAGCTCGTTGACAAAGGCCGCCCGAGCACTGTCAAGCTCCGCAGAAGAAACGTGAAGCATGACGCAAGGGGAGTCGGCGAACAAAAGATGCCTGTCGACCGACGCATCGGTGTTGAAGGACCCTATACTCTTGCGAATGGACTCTCGTCGCTGTCAAACTCCAGACTGCAATGCATGCGATCCCACAACCCAAGGGGATGGCATCGCAGACAGGACATGGTTGTCTCAGGTGACATGTTCTTGTCACTGAGCTTCACACACGGCCCATCCGAAACCTGTCGCAAAATCAGAGCATGGTGTGCCACTTCCCTGTCAGCATCAGCCTGCCTGGTGCAGCTCGTAGGTTGTCCTCCGCAAAGATGCGGCTGTTGCCAAACACACGGAGCAAGGCTATACAGTGCAAATGGAGATAAACCCCGCCTTGAGAACGATCTTCAGCCCGGACAAACGTCCCAGTGCTGCGGCCAAAGTCCACAGGAACATCCAGTCAAGCCTAGCAGGTGAAAACATGCACGATTTCTTTGCCCCTGCAGACGTGTGATTGAATGAAGCAGCTTGTCACTGACCGTGTAGGATGGTTGGAGATCAGGAGCAGGTCACCCTGACGGCACTGCGTTGCTCATGTACAAGGCCATTAGCAATAAAGTGAACCTGCATGCCCCAGTCTTCCAGCTTGTCGTCACCTCAGCCAGTCAACCAATCCACTGGAGATGTTATTTTTAGCGGCGGCAGCTAATAATCCCAAATGCTTGGAGCAGGACACGCATGGATGAAGATATGCGTTCGGAGGATGCACCGAAGGCAGAAGACTGCCAGGCCGAACCACGCGGCCTGCACTCATTCTGTCAATGTACATGGCTTGCAGCTTTAAATACCCACACATATATAGGTGGCACGTCTATGTACATACAGACAGACATACATACAGACGACATACATACCAACAAACAAACATACATACAGTACATACATACATACATACATACATACATATACAGATAAGTATAAATGGTTAGCTAGCTGTCTATCAAATTCACTACTGGATTTCTGGCATACAATATACTTGATCGCGATAGTTGTATTCGATTTCTGACTAAAAGTTGTACGTTTCTGAAGTCGGTTCTGTGTGATGCCTACATCTGGCATATGAACCAATACGGTAGTAATCCCTTCCCTCTAATATTTAACCCCCCCCTCCCCCTGATATAAAATTTGATTTTCGGGCTTCTAATTTGATTTGAGGGGGTTTTCGGTGCATCCGGGTGTGAGTCGGGGTGACAGTACTTCGTCAGTACAGTCAGACAAGTCAACAGCGACCAATTCCGCGCCACCGTTCCAATACCCCCTAATATTAAACTAAAGCAACCCAGACTCCCAGCTGCTGATTAGCTATCCTAAGCCTTGAGCCCTGAAACCCTGAAGCCCTAAGCCCCAAAACCTCGAGGCCTAAACCCTAAAGCCATGAGCCCTGAACTTTGAGCGCCAAAGCCCCAAGCCCTAAAGCTTTAGCCTTGGGCCCTAAACCCTAAAGCTCTGGTCTGTTCGGTTTGATTAGTATAGCTGTAATCTCTGCCTCTATTCAAACTCATACAATCCTAGCTCCCCCCTTATGTTTTGAATGAACTTTCCATTATGGGCTCGAAATCGCGAAATCCTGGCGGCGAGTTCATTTTATGTTGGGATGGCTTTCAAATTAGGGAGAAGGGATTACATCTGTTCATGTGCATCTTCATGTTTGTAGTTGTATGAAACTAACAACCACAGGCCTGGCAGCCAGCTGCAACATTGCAGAAAAGGTCACGAGCCAGGGAACTTGGAATCAACAACAAAGGCAAAGCCTCGGTGCAGCTCCAAGACAAAAACCAGTTTGCTGCTATTTGAGCAATGAGGTGGCAGCAGGAAGTAATATCGTGCAGCATGTCAGGATTGACCTTGCGCTGAGTAAGTATTTTTCTGGTGACGCTGTTGCTCGGACCAACGAGGAACAGACGTCTGAACCCACAGCAGAAGTACCTCCGGTAGTGCAGCTGCTCATGCGGCTGATGTCTTAACTTTGAACACTGCTCTGGAAGCAACCAGCCGGGATACACACCAAGCTGCCAGACGATGATGCAAAGGTGCCACCGTCATGTCATCACGGCTGGCCACGAAACGTGCCAATATCTTCCAGGAAAGTCTGCAGACTAGCAGCCAGCAAGCAAAAACGACAGCGGCGGCTCCAGTCGTGCGTTCTTTCGGCCGAAGTAGGCCGGCTGAGGCTTCTGCGGAAACTCGCCATCTCAAGCACGGAAGGACGGAAGGTCCTTGTCGAAAATCCTTTTCAAGCGGTCGGATCTGCCTGTGGTGCTGGGGTACAAATCACATCGGAGCAGACGCAATCGACTAAATGACTAAGTAACAGTGATCAGGCAGATGTGAGATGTACCCAGGAAGTGATGCAACTCAGAGAGGCAGACTCTCAATGTAGTTCTATCAGAACTTCTAGAAACGATGCTCTCCTCAGGCGGTGCGAATTGCGGCCACATCGACTGCTGCCTCGATTGTAAAAAGTGCATTAGGCCAAATGATGCATCGCTGGGGAGGAGTGGAACATGGTCAGGCTTTAAATATGAACCTTCAAAGGACAGCCGTGCAGAGACACGGCGTAAGCCTGTGGCAAATTCATTCGACGAGATGAAAACTTGAAATCCGATACTCGCGCTAGCTTGCATGGCACTCTCGGGCTCTTGATGTTTCGAGGTGCCTCTTGAAATTGACGACATTGTGCACATCAAAGGTATGTGCTGCCAATTAGGGCAACTGTACAAACTGAGCTGATAGCTGGCTTGAAACCCTGTGCTTCGAATTGCAGATGTTCAACTCGGTCTCGGAGCTGTCGACTGACGACCAAGCCAACCTGGGCTCAAGAAGTCGCATCGAATCATTCGGCAACAACTTTGCGCTTCGAGGAACTTCCACACCTCATCTGCCCGTCTGCGTTCTGCTGCTGCACAGCAGCTTACCTCTCCGCGTGCACTGGTTCATGCCATTGAAAAGACTTTCAGTGTTGCAACTTCATTTGCTTCTGCACCAAGCTCTGCCCCACACTTGAATGCTGCCGAGCTGCTGCAGGCTGCAAGTTCCTTCAAACAACTTGTCCTACACCAGGCTCCACTCGACAAATTACCCGCAAGACGCAAGACTCTCGCGCTGGTTTGCGCACGCCTTGTCCGTGGTCGCAACCCCGGCGCTGGATGAACCGACTTGAACCCAAGGTGTTCCATCCTGGAGGCTGGAGGGCAGCTTCGCCTTTTTTTCATCCTTGGCCCAACAGAACAGCCCGAGCCCGGTTCCTCGTCACTCCAGGAAGACTGCGTCTCTTCAGTAGGCTTCGCTCCAAATCCTGAGCGGCACTGGACTCTGAGCACCACAAAGATGAGATCACGTCTACAACGGAATTCAAAGCACCAAGCTTTCATTGCAGAGCGCTTTCACCTCCAAAGCAACGCTTTGCACCGGATTCAGAACCCTGCGAGCAACCGAGCCTGCGTGAGCATGTCAGACAAAGTTCCTTCAGAAGGAACTTCCGTGTGCCCAAGTCGACCTGCGAAACCCAAGCTCAAATAACCGCAGTAAAGCTACACACACAGCATCGCCCCGCCTGTGGTAACACTCTTGATCCAGAGCGTTCCATCCTCGTCGCACGCAAAGTCGCCACCCTGAAGAAATAGGTCAGATTGGGAGGTCAAAGCAGATTGACCATACCTTGCAGCAAAGAGAAGGTTTACTTCAATCAACTTCTGCTCCAGCCTCTCCACGCGGCAGTCTCGCGGAACTCCTGTTCCTTCCGTCACGGACCACGGCGTTCCATCCGCATCATACTCGGTGTCAACATCGCGGCCATAGCTTTCGGCATACAGGCCCTTGACATTCTCAAGCATCTGCTCCAAACGCTCCACACGCATGTCTCTGGGAAGGCCGGTGCCACGAATCTCAAGCCACGGCGTGCCCTGCACGTCGTACTGGACAGCCTCTTCGGTATCGACTTCGACACCATACTTGACCTCATACAACTGCTTCACTTCTGCTAGCTTCTGCTCCAGCCTCTCCACGCGGCAGTCTCGCGGAACTCCTGTTCCTTCCGTCACGGACCACGGCGTTCCATCCGCATCATACTCGGTGTCAACATCGCGGCCATAGCTTTCGGCATACAGGCCCTTGACATTCTCAAGCATCTGCTCCAAACGCTCCACACGCATGTCTCTGGCAAGGCCGGTGCCACGAATCTCAAGCCACGGCGTGCCCTGCACGTCGTACTGGACAGCCTCTTCGGTATCGACTTCGACACCATACTTGACCTCGTACAACTGCTTCACTTCCGCTAGCTTCTGCTCCAGCCTCTCCACGCGGCAGTCTCGCGGAACTCCTGTTCCTTCCGTCACGGACCAAGGCGTTCCATCCACATCATACTCGGTGTCAACATCGCGGCCATAGCTTTCGGTATACAGGCCCTTGACATTCTCAAGCATCTGCTCCAAACGCTCCACACGCATGTCTCTGGGACAGCCGGTGCCACGAATCTCAAGCCACGGCGTGCCCTGCACATCGTACTGGACAGCCTCTTCGGTATCGACTTCGACACCATACTTGACCTCGTACAACTGCTTCACTTCCGCTAGCTTCTGCTCCAGCCTCTCCACGCGGCAGTCTCGCGGAACTCCTGTTCCTTCCGTCACAGACCAAGGCGTTCCATCCGCATCATACTCGGTGTCAACATCGCGGCCATAGCTTTCGGTATACAGGCCCTTGACATTCTCAAGCATCTGCTCCAAACGCTCCACACGCATGTCTCTGGGACGGCCGGTGCCACGAATCTCAAGCCACGGCGTGCCCTGCACATCGTACTGGACAGCCTCTTCGGTATCGACTTCGACACCATACTTGACCTCGTACAACTGCTTCACTTCCGCTAGCTTCTGCTCCAGCCTCTCCACGCGGCAGTCTCGCGGAACTCCTGTTCCTTCCGTCACAGACCAAGGCGTTCCATCCGCATCATACTCGGTGTCAACATCGCGGCCATAGCTTTCGGTATACAGGCCCTTGACATTCTCAAGCATCTGCTCCAAACGCTCCACACGCATGTCTCTGGGACGGCCGGTGCCACGAATCTCAAGCCACGGCGTGCCCTGCGCATCGTACTGGACAGCCTCTTCGGTATCGACTTCGACACCATACTTGACCTCGTACAACTGCTTCACTTCCGCTAGCTTCTGCTCCAGCCTCTCCACGCGGCAGTCTCGCGGAACTCCTGTTCCTTCCGTCACAGACCAAGGCGTTCCATCCGCATCATACTCGGTGTCAACATCGCGGCCATAGCTTTCGGCATACAGGCCCTTGACATTCTCAAGCATCTGCTCCAAACGCTCCACACGCATGTCTCTGGGAAGGCCGGTGCCACGAATCTCAAGCCACGGCGTGCCCTGCACATCGTACTGGACAGCCTCTTCGGTATCGACTTCGACACCATACTTGACCTCATACAACTGCTTCACTTCTGCTAGCTTCTGCTCCAGCCTCTCCACGCGGCAGTCTCGCGGAACTCCTGTTCCTTCCGTCACGGACCACGGCGTTCCATCCGCATCATACTCGGTGTCAACATCGCGGCCATAGCTTTCGGCATACAGGCCCTTGACATTCTCAAGCATCTGCTCCAAACGCTCCACACGCATGTCTCTGGCAAGGCCGGTGCCACGAATCTCAAGCCACGGCGTGCCCTGCACGTCGTACTGAACAGCCTCTTCGGTGTCGACTTCGACACCATACTTGACCTCGTACAACTGCTTCACTTCCGCTAGCTTCTGCTCCAGCCTCTCCACGCGGCAGTCTCGCGGAACTCCTGTTCCTTCCGTCACGGACCAAGGCGTTCCATCCACATCATACTCGGTGTCAACATCGCGGCCATAGCTTTCGGCATACAGGCCCTTGACATTCTCAAGCATCTGCTCCAAACGCTCCACACGCATGTCTCGGGGACAGCCGGTGCCACGAATCTCAAGCCACGGCGTGCCCTGCACATCGTACTGGACAGCCTCTTCGGTATCGACTTCGACACCATACTTGACCTCGTACAACTGCTTCACTTCCGCTAGCTTCTGCTCCAGCCTCTCCACGCGGCAGTCTCGCGAAACTCCTGTTCCTTCCGTCACAGACCAAGGCGTTCCATCCGCATCATACTCGGTGTCAACGTCGCGGCCATAGCTTTCGGTATACAGGCCCTTGACATTCTCAAGCATCTGCTCCAAACGCTCCACACGCATGTCTCTGGGACAGCCGGTGCCACGAATCTCAAGCCACGGCGTGCCCTGCACATCGTACTGGACAGCCTCTTCGGTATCGAGATCTACACCATACTTGACCTCGTACAACTGCTTGACTTCTGCCAGTTTCTGAGACAGCCTGGTAAGGCGGTAGTCTGTGGGCACATGGGTTCCACGGATAACTCTCCATACTGGCCCGTGACCATCTCCGTCTTGCTCCTGGTGACAGACAAACTCAGGCTTATGCTGCAGGCCATGAGGCTGGGAATCAGGCAGCGGTCTTCAACAATCAACTACGAGATCAACGTTCCGTCATGCTCTTCCTCGTGCAGCTTCTCCGTTTCATTCTCGACCGGGAAACCGTATTTTTGCTCATACAGGTCCTTCACTTCATGCAGCACTTGCATCCGATATCCTATGTTTCGACACGCTGACAGCTATCGCAAGACTGGCTCCTTCACCTCCGCCAACAGCGATTCAAGCGAGTCCTTCTTTACTGATTAACTACCAGCTACCTCAGGATATCTCCAAATCATCCAGGCAGTAGATACTTAGGATGCCGTGAGTCTGGCAGTCTGGCTTGCTGGCATCAAACGAGCTGTGCTTGTCACTGCCAGCCTGTGAACACGGTCGTGTTCTCTCGCCACCTGCTGCGGTTGTGATTCAATACTCTTCGGGACAATGAAAACTCAACCTGCCACTACATGTAGCATGCAATTACAGAGCCAAAGCACCGTCACAATCAGGAGCATCAACGACATCAAAGCAGCAAATTAGAAGGGGCAGTATCTAAAAGTCGCAGCAGCAGCAGCAGCAGCAGCTGCAGCAGCTGCCGCATCCGCCACGGGAGCCGCCGCAGCAGCAGCAGCAGTGACGGAACATTCATGCCAGTACAGGACACGATCTCGCCTGGAGGTTGGTTCCATGAAGAGCCTTTGTGGTCCTGGCAACTTCGAAGATAAAGGTGAAAACTAGCACTTGCCGCCAACTTGTCTACACAACAGTACCGTCTTCCAGCACCAGCAGCAGCCGCGCAAAGGTTCTCTTGCTAGCTTCGGCTATGAAGATGATGGTAGACTCTGGTAGAGAGCACGTAGGCGTCATCCGCAGCATGCACACTGCAACTAGTCTCGACTTGCCTGGAACTGGTCCGGCAAGTCTTCTCCTGCAGGTCAAGGGACATCGGACTACAGGAACAATGCAGGAGCCTCTTGTGTTGGCGTCCTTCTTCATCTTCCGGTATTGACATCTGCCTGATGGGCCACGCAAGCATCGCGAAAAAAAATAAGGGAAAAAAAACGAACAACTTGATCCAATCCCAGCAAGTACCGTCAGAAGAGACTCTTTCAAGAGGCAAAGCCATCAATCGCTTCTGCCTTGTAAGAAGGGGAAAGTGCTCGTCGTCGAACTCAGATGCGCAAAAGATGGATAGTCTGTGTGACTGTGAAGCTTTTGCGGCACGGAATGGATCGTACGAGTTTGCTAAGCTGTCCAAATCAAATCACCACCGAGCCGCTCCATCAAGACACAGATGTGGAAGACGGAACTGCATATTCGGCGTCGGCCTCAGCCGCTGGCCACGGGTGCATCTGAGGAACTGAGCTAGCAATCATTCTGTCAAAAAACATGTGCCACTCATGCAACAAAGCCCTTGTCAAACCTGCAAGACACGACACTGTCAATGTCCCTGGGCATGGCAAATCACCAAGCGCAACGCAAATTTGACCACTTATTCCAAGTGACATTGGATGAAGGTATCAATACTAAGATGCTGACGGAGCAGTACTTGCCTGGCAAGATCCCGGCTTCCCAACAGCACGGACAGGCAACCTCCGTTCAAAGCTTTGTTTCACTGAGCCGCTTGCTTGGGAGAGCGGTGTTGAAGAGGCATTACAGCACGCCTGTTGGCGCAGTTACATGAAAAGACACACAGATCCAATGGAGATGGAAACCTCGACATGAATCTGTGCGCACCTCGCCGTGCTGCTTCGGGTTATGGGGGCTCGCGGGCTGATTGCCGGCGAGCCCCTCATCTGGTATCTGGAACTGCAACCTGCACATGCAGTACAAACAAACGCTTGAACTCACGAAACTGGCAGTGCAAAGTCTCATGCCAAGCGCCGCACGAAGACATGTCGAGAACGGATCAGAGAAACGCAAATACACAAATCGAAGTTGATCTCCGGAACGGCTTTTCTGTGGTAAACAGCTGCGACATGCGACTGCAGTTTGAGGCATACCGAGATATACCGAGCATGTCTCAGCGCAGTTAAACACACTTCAAGCAACGTCCAGCTCAAGCTCCCAGCACCGTTTTACTGCCTGCGCACCCTCTTTGGGTCACGTGTCCCTGAAGTGGGAGACATCGTAGCAACGGTACTACATCCCAGCAACCTCTTTTCACCACAGCCCACACCGCGTGCAACGAGTCGTGATGCTTGCTGCTGCTTACACCAATGTACGCAACATGACCACCGGGCCGGAATCTCCCCACATATGCTGACATCTTCTGCATGCAATTCCGAAGCAGACCCTGCTTTCCCTTAAAGACGGAAGGAGGGATTGGCGAAGTTTCCCTGCACCACGCAGGCATCCACAGACAGGGCAGCAGACAGGGAATTCATTTGAAACCAGGCTTGGGGAAGCGTACCGATGGAAGAACGCGGCGTTGTTCGCTGATGCCTGCGCCGGCACGAGCAGGTGCGCTGGCCTACGCTGACGTTGTTTACGTCAACGCTGCACTGCATCGGCAAATGAAGACACTGAGCGGCACGAATGTCACTTGAGCCTGGCATGACTTGGACACAGGACTCGTGTTACTTGTCCTAGCAAAACGGAGGCTATCGATTGCTGCACCAAACCTCCAGACTCAAGGCTTTACCCTGGCACAACTGACACAATCAAGCACTGCGGACTGCAAGCCGTGGGCGCCGATGCGACTACCACAGCCGGCAAGTCCGCGGAGCTTTGGAGCTGGGTGTAGACCCAGCTGCACTTCGAACTCAAAGCTTCCAACCCCTCAACACGGCACATCGCGACACGACCGTTCTGCTTGCGCCCGGCGTGAAAGTTTTTGCCAACCGCAAGTCGCGAAGCTCGCCACATTCCGTTTCAGTGCCTTACGCTTGACGACCCCGTTCTTTGCTTCGACATATGCAGTGCCACGCAGCAACGGCGTATCCAGTGCCGACATCGCGTTTTCTGTTCCAAGCTCGGGTCTGAAGCCGTGCTTTACCTTGTTTAGGGGTTTATGGTTAAGTGCTTGATTTTGTTCTCATAAGTACTTCTAGTGGTTTCTGAATTGGTACCTTTTGTATTTGTAAAACCCTGGACTAAACCCTAAGGGCATCGTTATCCGGGGATGGGTCAATACCCCATGTTGTCGCGGGGCCCCACCCCCCCCTCTGTTACAAACCTTTGTCGCGCCGGCTTTGTTACAAACCTTTGTCACGCGGCAGTGCTATATGAGGGACCTTGTCGCGCCAGCCTTGTCGCAAAAAACCATCTTTGTTACAAACTTTGTCGTGCAAGGGGCGCCCCGACCCTGGTGCAAACCAGAAGCTTTTGACCCGCTGAATCCCCCAACTCCGATGCGGCAGCTGCCAGACGTGCCCTGTGCAAACATGCACCCTAAAAACGGAGGCAGAGTTCGGATGCTTCCATCACATACCAGTTGCTCTGGCGCCGCCGTTTGATCACTTCCTTGCCTTTGACTGAGGGTGCTGCTGCCTCTTGGGCAAGGGGCAGCACGGACATTTCCAGAGACTACAAACTATGCGCGATGCAAGCTGGAACTGGGCTGCTGTGTGTCGATCAACGACGGCGGGAAGAGGCCTGCGGGAGCTGAGGGATTAGGGTCGTGCAAGCATGGCGTTGTCTCGGAAGAGATGTGGAGAATGCTCCTCGGAGTAGATCGCTCAAGGAGTCTTTCACAGGCGTCGAAGCATTCCTACGGCACTTCTTCGAAGCTCAGGCTTCTTGGCACTGGGTGGCCAGGTGATTGCAGGGAAATACAACCATTCCGTCCTTCTTCTGCCGGACCCTGACTGTGGGGGGTGCTTCCGAGTTATACCCAAACTGCCGAGGCCCTAAACCGCGCAGCTGTGGCCCAAAACACCTTTTTTGTCGTAGAGACGACTCAGAGAGTTCAAAATTAAGATGGCAGAGGCCTTGAGACTGTGGTTTTCTGCATCAAACTCTAAGAGCCTACAACTAAAACCTTGAGGCATCCCGAAGGCTACTGGAACACGAGCTGCAACCTGATTTCCGATGCCTTGCAAGGGCCCTGCCAGGCTGCGGACGATAGTTGTACCGCGAGACTTCCCCCTGCGTTCCGCACTGCCAGGTCACTCCAGGATTGACGAACTGCAGCTGGTGCGTCAAACTCTCCAGAGAACTGTGCCTACGGAAAGGGCACCCACGCGCACCAGACCACGAAGACAGCAACGCTGCGAAATTCCACTCTGCAGAAACACGGCGACTGGGCAAGGCATAACCAGAGAGCAGCGTCAGGACCTCAACTGACAGGCCTGCAGCAAAAAAGCACGAAGTAGGAAACCACGAGATGTGCTCGATCTCGTATGGTTGGAGCCGCACCGGTTCCTCCCAGTGCTACGCTGCGTGCAGATCGGGCATGTCGGTGAGCAGAGCTGTTTAGTCGCAGCAGAGCCACTGCCGCTGAAGCAGTGTAGTTGCGCTCGACGTTTGAGGAAGCTACTGCCCAATAAGATGCTACGAATATCAATAATCCCGGAGGTGCACGATGTTGGGAAGCCGCGTGCACTTGTTGCGCCCATGGCCGGTTGTTTCGATCTGTCTTTGATGGAGACTGTTTGGGATGACCACAGAATTTGCCGCTGTCCTGGAGCAGCTGCAAGCGCACTGTGAGAGAGAACAGGATGGGGGCAGAAAGTGAAGGCAAAGCTGACTCTCTCATCATGCCTTTCGGCCACCGCCGCGGCCTGGCTTAGCGAAGCTCGCCCAGAGCTAGCCAGAGCTGGCGGGGAAGCTCGCAGAGGTTCGGATTTTTTGACATGTGCTGGGCCCCGACGACGCGAGTCCTGCCGTCTAGGGGCAAACCCTACTGTGAGACACGACAGACGTCAGGGATTAGGGGTTAGGAGCCAGAGAGTGATTAAAGGATCACTCGCGGTCCGAGCTCAGCGGCTCAGCACATCTGCCTTGACAGCGGGTCCGTTTTAAGCGTGGTGCCCGCTGCGATGGACAATCCAGGCCCCTGGGGCCTGCCAAGGGCCGCAGAAGTTCAGAAGGGCCTCCAAAGCCTGCGGTTTCTCAGAAGAAGAGGCTGATCTTCCCACAGCATGTCAAAAAAAACTCAGTCGAAAGCGAGTGAAGGCGCTCATCTGCTCCACTCTGCTTGGAGCCTAGCGGATGGCTGGGAATGCTTCGTCTGGCAGCCGCGACCTTCCGAGTCTGGGGCCCTGGGTGGCGGCGTATCAATCTCCTCAGCCAGGGCAAACGTATGCAGACGTCTCTGACCCGATCATCGCCCTCCAAAGCTTGTCTTGCCACATAGAACGGGCTGCGTGGCTGAGGTTTGACAAGAGAAGCACTCGACACACCGAGTCTGCCATGAAACCTCCAGATGCCACGATTGTCTTTTGCCTGCCTTTGCTTTCCCGGTCTGTTGGTATTGGAACAGTGGAGCACTTGCATCCGTCATCTAAAGGCCTGAAGCCTGCAGCCCACTGCAGCCACATGACCCGACAGCAAAGGCAGCATAATCTGAAGCCCTTGACAGTTCGGCTAATACATTGCAGCCCTCTATTAGACAAGCAGCTCAGACCAGCTCGTTGACGACTTGCTAAAATCACCAAATCAAGAATGAAAGGACTACCTCGTTGGAACAGAGCTGGCGGCCAAGCTGACTCAGCATTCTTTCTCGGAGCGACTGCTCGATCCATGCTGTGTTGTCAAAGCCCGCATAGCGTGCCACGCGGCTCAGTCTGCGTGCTGGAGCGCGTGCAGCGCACGTCCGCAACACCGCGCATCTCCAAGGTGTCATTCAGGAGGTCAGCCGCGAGAGGAAGGACAGATCCATGTCGACTCTGCAAGAACCCTAAACTCAAAACCCTAAGCCCAAACCCTAAATCGTGAAATGACTTCGGTCTTCACTAGAAGTGGTTTGTCCTATCCCGACCCCGAAACTCCGAAGGGACGGACAGACATCTGATATTTGCGGATGCACATGCATCTGTCCGCTAAAGGCCTGAAGCCTGCAGCCCCCTGCAGCCACATGACCCGACAGCAAAGGCAGCATAGCCGTCGGCGCATCTGAAGCCCTTGACACTGCGGCTAACACTCTGCAGCCCTCCATCAGGGGAGCAGCTCAGACCAGCTCGTTGACGACGTGCTAAAATCACCAAATCAGGAATGAAAGGATTACCTCGTTGGAACGGAGCTGGCGGCCAGGCTGACTCAACATGCTTTCTCGGAGCGGCTGCTCCATCCATGCTGTGTTGTCAAAGCCCGCATAGCGTGCCACACGGTGCAGTCTGCCTGCTGGAGCGCGCGCAGCGCACGTCCGCAACACCGCGCATCTCCAAGGTGTCATTCAGGAGGTCAGCCGCGAGAGGAGGGACAGATCCATATCGACTCTGCAAGAACCCTAAACTCAAAACCCTAAGCCCAAACCCTAAATCGTGAAATGACTTCGGTCTTCACTAGAAGTGGTTTGTCCTATCCCGACCCCGAAACTCCGAAGGGACGGACAGACATCTGATATTTGCGGATGCACATGCATCTGTCCGCTAAAGGCCTGAAGCCTGCAGCCCCCTGCAGCCACATGACCCGACAGCAAAGGCAGCATAGCCGTCGGCGCATCTGAAGCCCTTGACACTGCGGCTAACACTCTGCAGCCCTCCATCAGGGGAGCAGCTCAGAAAACCGTTGCTTTTCCGAGCCTCTGCACGACTTTCCCTGCTCCAGTGCGTGGCTGGGCAAACACCCCTGAAACTTCCTAGGACACACCACTGGAGGTATTGCCAGCATTTCACAGGCGGCCAACTCCGGGACGAACTGCTAAAGTGACCGAATCAGGAATGAGGGATGACCTCGTTGGAACAGAACTGGCGGCTAGGCAGACTCAACATGCTTCTCATCCATAATGTGTTGTAGTAGCACACATTGCGTGCCACACGGTGCAGTCTGCCTGCTGGAGCGCGCGCAGCGCACGTCCGCAACACCGCACATCTCCAAGGTGTCATTCAGGAGGACAGCCGCACAGATCCATGTCGACACTGCAAGCAGAGCCGTGGTCATGCTCACCTTCGCCGAATGAGGCATTACAGCAATGGAGCACATGCATCTGTCCGCTAAAGGCCTGAAGCCTGCAGCCCCCTGCAGCCACATGACCCGACCGCCAAGGAAGCATAGCCGTCGGCGCATCTGAAGCCCTTGACACTGCGGCTAACACTCTGCAGCCCTCCATCAGGGGAGCAGCTCAGAAAACCGTTGCTTTTCCGAGCCTCTGCGCGACTTTCCCTGCTCCAGTGCGTGGCTGGGCAAACACCCTGAAACTTCCTAGGGCACACCACTGGACGAATTGCCAGTGTTTCACAGGCAGCCAGCTCATTGACGAATGGTTAAAATCACCGAATCAGGAATGAAAGAATGACCCTTTTGGAACAGAGCTGGCGGCTAGGCTGACTCAACATACATCCTTCCCTGGAAGAGACTGCTCCATCCATACTGTGCTGTAGTTGCACACATTGCGTGCCACACGGCTCAGTCTGCCTGCTATCACACCCAGCCCACCTCCGCGACACCGCGCATCTCCAAGGTGTCATTCAGAAGGTCAGCCGCGAGAGGAAGGACAGATCCATGTCGTCATGCTCACCTTCGCCGAATGAGGCATTACAGCAATGGAGCACATGCATCTGTCCGCTAAAGGCCTGAAGCCTGCAGCCCCCTGCAGCCGCATGACCCGACCACAAAGGTAGCATAGCCGTCGGCGCATCTGAAGCCCTTGACACTGCGGCTAACACTCTGCAGCCCTCCATCAGGGGAGCAGCTCAGAAAACCGTTGCTTTTCCGAGCCTCTGCGCGACTTTCCCTGCTCCAGTGCGTGGCTGGGCAAACACCCTGACACTTCCTAGGGCACACCACTGGACGGATTGCCAGCGTTTCACAGGCGACCAACTCCTTGACGAACTGCTAAAGAGACAGAATCAGGAATGCGGGATGACCTCCCAAAGTTGAAGAAGAGATGTGCTTGCGAAACTCGGGAACAATGCGACCGGGTGACCCAACTGACAAAAAAAGTGCCTATGACCCCGGCCCAAATTCCAGGTCAACCTGCTACTCCTAGCACAAGCTGTCCCTCGAGAAAATCTTGAGGCAACATCTTTCAGGCCAGTCGCCTGAAGTCTGAAGTCGAAGTCCAAGTGACGTGAGCTCTCTCCTTCGCCTCTGGGGAGACATCCAACTTCATGCCCGTATGCCGGGACCTGTGCATCCCAGCCTCGAATTTCGCATGTGAACAAAGATGTGGTCGAGAAGCGATAAGATGGCTTCTGGCGAATGCATTGTAGGAACTGAGCGGAAGCCGAATAAGTCCCATGGAGCGCAGCATGGCCTGACGGCGCTTACATGCTTTTTGCCGTGGCCCTTCGTGCCATTCGGACCCAGCACCGGCAACTGGAAGTCTGTGGCATGCCATACGTCCACGATGTTACTCAGTGAGAGAAAACCGACGTTCCTCAGAAAAAGTGCCTATGACCCCGGCCCAAATTCCAGGTCAACATGCTACTCTTAGCACAAGCTGTCCCTCGAGAAAATCTTGAGGCAACATCTTTCAGGCCAGTCGCCTGAAGTCTGAAGTCGAAGTCCAAGTGACGTGAGCTCTCTCCTTCGCCTCTGGGGAGACATCCAACTTCATGCCCGTATGCCGGGACCTGTGCATCCCAGCCTCGAATTTCGCATGTGAACAAAGATGTGGTCGAGAAGCGATAAGATGGCTTCTGGCGAATGCATTGTAGGAACTGAGCGGAAGCCGAATAAGTCCCATGGAGCGCAGCATGGCCTGACGGCGCTTACATGCTTTTTGCCGTGGCCCTTCGTGCCATTCGGACCCAGCACCGGCAACTGGAAGTCTGTGGCATGCCGACCGGCAAGGATCGATGTCGTCGATCTGGTCTCATGGAAACGGCCGAAGTGGTCGACCAAAGCTCAGCAATTCAAACCGCAGCGCAGCACAGGCAACAGACTTCCAGCCGGAGTGCCGACACCGAAACCACAGGCAGCCGTTCAAAGCACTGGAGTGCACTTCGGAACAGCCTTGCGCGTCATGCGTCCAGCTTAAGTGTTCACCTAGAAGATCCGAGTCGACTGTCGTCATTCCGTAACAGTTCCGTTTCTCATCCGCCCTCCAAAAGCCAAAGCTCGTGCCGAGCAGCTGGGCTTGCAAGCGGGACAGAAAAAGATTAAATGAAGTCGTCGGGTGGAGCAGCATTGGGACACGGGTTGAAGTAGCAAATTACTGCGTGCAAGGGCCTGCGAATCATGCACTTCTTTCCTTATGGGTCGGGACTGGTAGGAACGTGAGATGGCAACACTTTCCAAGAAGCAAGCACTGCTCTTGCAGACACCTTCCAAAAATGTGCGGCAGGCATACGACCAGTGCATAATGTAGCAGCGGCCGCAAGTGTCGCCCGGAGTACCAACTCTGCGAAACCCGCTTGCCTCCACAGCTCTGGTGCCAGAGATCTGGGCCTGCACCCTCACGGCCCTTGCTCCAGGAGAGCAAGAGTAATGCGTGCCACTCCTTTCACCGGAGCTCTTGGAAGGCAGTGAGAGCAAAACACCTTCGACGTGGCGTCATCTGTGCGTCTGTGCACGCTGCGTACTGAATGCAAGCTGGATAATGGCAGCGCGTGTCTTGGGAACCACACTGTCTTCGTCCAGCAAGACTGTGGCCATGGGATTGCTGGGTTGGTGGAAACAAAAAGAGCAAAGCTGCGATGCGTTCATCTGGAATGTGGTGCTTCGAAAGGACGCATGTCGCACCGCTAGCCGTAACTGTGCCACAACACGCGAAGTTTAGGAGCACTAGACGAAGCGTAGACCAGTCTTCTTGCTGTTGCGCTGCGCCTGCCGTGTCTCGGAAGGAAGAGTCCGCTTTGCAACTCTCGAACTGGCGCAGCACAGACTGGAAGCTCTGAGGATGTGACCGCAGCAGCCGTCTCTGGTCTGTCCGCAGATTGAGCGCTGCGCGAGCACGTCAGCCTGTCCCAAAAACTTGCAAGCGCCCCTTGACGGACGGGATGGACCTGCAAGTGCCGCTTGGCAGAGACAGGATTGGTTTCGAGAGCAATGTCATGAGGCGACTAACGCCCAAGATGTGGTTAGAGCCTGGAGCCCACAGGGATCAAAGTGTTCCGATGCATCAGTGCTTGTGCGTGTGCAGGAAAGTTTGGAAGGTTCTGCGGGGCGCAGTCAAGGTCAAGGCGGACAGTTCTACTAGCACGGACTGGCTGGCTTCAGAAATGTGAATTTACGACCTTCTGCCTGGAGTCAATACACGGGTTGGGGCTGGAAACCTGAGGGCTGGAGTAGACCCTACTCCGGCCATGCTCTGCCACCTTTTCTTCACAGCACGCTATGTGGGATCTTGGTCAGCTCAATTCCCCAAGGTCATGGCCTTCTCTCAGCTACTAGGTACTGGGGTTCAGGGTTTAGAGTTTAGGGTGTAGGGTTGACGGTTTTGTCGACCATGCAGGTATCAAGCCGCCCCTCCCCAAGCTCGCGCTTAGAGTCGCATCAGCCCGACATGTCAAATCTGGACGCGGCACGAGACTTTGCGCACAAAGTGAGGCAACAGTGCATTGAAACCGCACCTTTCTGCTGGCGGAAGAAAAAATGGCGGAAGAAGAAGGGCTTATTTTCAGGTTGAGGTCGCTGCTTCGGAAGCTCGGCCCCTGAAACTTGCCAGGCTCAACCTGGGCGGTCTCCCGCATAGCATCTCGCTGCCCCGCGAAAACTCGAAAGCACATAGCAGCTCGGTGCTAGGGTCGACTAGGGCTTGGTCGCACGACGGGATGGCAGCAAAGGCAACGGATTTTTGTTCGCCCGTGCCTGTGTCCTCTGAGTACGGCCTATGCGGAGTGCTACCGCAAAGGACACGGCGTGGGACTGCCGGACTCATTCAATGCTGTGCTTCTTCTTGCTGCCCTTCAATCGGCTACGCCAGAGGAGGCTAAGTTTGACGCGGACCTTGTCACTTAGAAGCCTGGCACCAAGGCAGCCAACATGGCTGTGCAGCTTTGCTGCTGCGAGAAAAGATGAGGCCACACTCACACACAAGTGGCTCCTCTTTCGCTTCACAGACCGTTCCTTCGAGGACTTCCTGGTAATCCGCATTGCATCGTGCGGGGTTCAAGCTGCATCGTGTGCATCAGTTTTCTTGGTCGTTTCGCTGCATCCTGACCGCCGTCAGTGCCCCAGCATCTTCAGGTGTGCCTGGCCAAATGTTTGACTGCTTAGCTTAGTTTTTGTTGCGAGTATGCCCTCAGACTTCGGGCTCGGCGGAGAGGGAGAGAGAGAGTGACCTCACATCCGTCGACTGTGATTCAGCAAATGATGCTTCGCTGCAGCAGATTCAGATCCGTTCGAGAGCCATGCAACTCATGCTGGGAAGGCAGTGGAAAGATGTGTCTGTGGAAGCCGCCGCCATGCTCTTGCTAAGCACACCTTGAGGCCTGTCTCACGGCTCCAACAACCAAGCCGAGCACATCGGGAGGTGAAAGAAACGGCAAGTCACGCATGGTCACATTCATCAACTCATTGGGAAGATGCGATCGAGAATCGAGTGCCGAGAAATGGGAAGTTTAGGATGTTTTTGGCTCTCAACAACCATTGGCCCGAATCTGAGTTTCAAGTTTCATAATATGTGGCTCTCAACAAACACTTGGCCTGAAGCAGGGCTTCAAGTTTTGCATAGTCCTTGCTTGTGAGCATGCGGAGTTGCAGGGAAGCCGATTGATGACCCTTTCGTTCCTGCCGTTTCGGAGGCATGCCCCAAGCAACTCGTCGTTCAGAACCGACAAACCAGAGGTCGAAGCCTGCTTTCCAACAGCCCGAAGTTCTCCGTCCTGTGGCTGTGGCACACTCAGCAACACCAGCAAAGGCCTGCAGGCGGAGCTGAGAAACTGAAAGAGTTGGATGCACGGGAACCTGATCCAGGAATCGTGATCGGGGGCGATTCCCTGGGCAAAGGGCGAACCTAGAGGTCCTCACCTAACTGGCCCGTGTGCAAGTTCACCACGCATTTTGCGTAGTGCCTGCCTGCTTCCGACGTGCAGTAGCACCAAACCGCCAATCCGATCTGCTGAAACAATACCTCCACCGTGTCTTTTCCTCAGAATGCTGCGGGGCTGAAGTGGCGGTGC